CTACCCAAAAACCCTGGGTCGGGTTTTTGGGCGGGGTCAGGGTGGTCCTATTCACCACCCACCACCCATCGGGTAGGGGGCAATTTGTAAGGGCAACCCTATGGGCACCCAATGGGTTGTCCCACCCACTGGGTGCCCACCACCCAGCACCCATTGGGTGAATCTTGGCATTTACATGACCTGCTATGTAATATTAAACACTAGTGGTTTTATTGGTATTGTTACTACCTTTGTTACTCTTGATACAGTCGAGATAGAAGTTATTCTCTTTGTCAACATATCTACATTTATGCGGTAATGCGCTATGTCTATGGACCGATACATCTGAATGTCTCCTCTCTGGAATACTTGTTCTCGTTGCCAGTCTCTGCTTATGTTTACCCTTTCGCGCTACTCCTGTCAGCCTGTCACTTTGTCTCTCTATGTAGACGGCGAGCCAGTTGCATATCCTTTGGCATGATAGTGACCCGATTGGCATAGATAGCTACCAGATTTGTGTCTAGTATAGTTAATAAGTGTTTTGTAGATGAGCAAGGGTAGCTTACCTTCAAACAAGTGTACAAGATAGACCTCTGTAGCTTCTTGTAGAGCAGCTATTACAGAAGCCTGGATCCAATAATCACCCATGGAGTCGTGCATGACCTCTCACACTACCCTAGATATTGCTATACGTGGGATTAACCAGCCTATAGATTTCTGATATCTGTGGATTTCAGCTAATGCAGCAACTATTCTATGTTAGCAATTGTCACCCCTATTATTACTAACTACTTACCTCCTTTACAGAATAGCTTTACTTTAGCCTTAGGGTTAATAGGCTTCTGTTTCTCGGGAGGGCGAAAAGACATATCTCTCGCATTCCACCGAGGCTTTCTGGCCTTCTAAGTCATGCTGGGATATATTGTCTTGCCTTGTGGTTTAGATAGTCACTTACGCGCAGATCAGGCGGCTTACTTACACGCAGATTAGGCAGGTTGCTTCACTACTCTACCATTGCTGTTGCCACCATTATTAGATAGTTGCTTGCACGCAGATTAGGCAGGCTACTTCGCTGCTCTACTATTATTGTTGCCACTATTGTTACGACTATTGTTACAACTATTGGCGTTACTATTAGTGTTGTCATTAATATTGTTGTTAGTATTGTTGTTAGCATCACCATTAGTATTATTATTAGTGTCAGCAGGAAGATCAAAGTTAGGAAAGGCCTGCTATGCTAGATACATAGTGGTGTTCATGCAGTTATTCTAGTCACCTTAAGCATCTCTATAGAAGAATCCTCTCAGTGTCTTCCCAGCAGGAACTAATAGCCTATAAGGTAGCAGTGGTGAGAGAGGAAGCTCATTCTCTAGCTTCTTCTTTTCAGCTAGATCTTTAAGCTTATAATATACAGCCACCTACCTTAGGTTAACTCCCTTCTTTATATTCACCTTATTAATAACGCTATAGCCTCTTGATTTACCCTATATAATGAGGTTAACTATACTGCTTTTAAGGTTGAAATACCAGAAACATTTCTGATTGCTCAACCAATTAGGGCTTAGTAGGCCTTTAGCCTAGATGTTATTAAGAATGTCAATCATGTTCTTGGCTTCCTTATTATTCAGAGAGTATTTAAACAGTGTCTTATTAAATACAAACTTATTTAGGTCTACTTGCGTTTCTCTAGAATTGTTATCCCCCTTGTTACCACTAGGGGCAGGCTTTTTAATATCTAGAAGGGGGTTCTCTATATATTGGGAGGGCTATTCATGCTCCTGGCTAACAGCATAGTTAGATGCCACATCATCATCTTTATCACCTTGGGTAGTGGACTTATCAGCTAACAGAGCTTTATACTATTAGTAGAATGTTAGGAAATCGCCAGAGCATATGTAAAAGAATTCATCACGAATATTCTCACTATCTTTAAATGCATGACCTACAGGTAGTAAGGGTGTCAGGAGCTTAGCCAGCTATCTCATATACAGGGGGCCTTTCAGGTCATCATTTACTTCTCTTATACACTTTAAAAGCTTAGTCCACTTCGCAATTATAGGCTTTAAGACTCTCATTATCTTCAGCCCCACATGCTCCTTATTATCACCACCATTCTCAAGAGACACCTTTTTATACTGGGGACCCTTGAAATATTGTGTTGCTTGATCATCTAGGGGCACAGACTTTTAGTTGTTACCATACTTATTACCACTCTCTTTAGTGTTAGAGGGAGGAGGCTTTAGCTTTATCTTAGAGGGATCCAGGCTAGGCGAATTAGGTTGACTAGAGGGATCCAGGCTAGGCGAATTAGGTGGACTAGATAATAGAGAGTCATTGTTCTTATCCTGTAGGTCTTTATAGAATTGGGTCCATTTACCTTAGCAGTAATTAAAGAAGTACTCACGTATATTATTATAGTCCTTAATCTTCTACCCTCTAGGGATTAGGGGACTTAGAAGGCTCTTAAGAAACTAGTTGTGTGTATAGTTCCTATTATAATATTACTTGTCAAGTCTGTTAAGTTCTTTAACAGCTGAGTCAATCTTATCCCAAGAGTATTTGATGATGTTGTCTAAGAAGTCAGGGTTGTTACCACTATTGTTACACACGTTAAAATCATTATACCAAGGCCCTTTAAAGACCTTGTCTAAGAGATCAGGTAGCTCTAGTGTGTTGTTAGCTCAAGTATCTTTAGCAAGGTAGTAGTTATAGTATTTAGTCCAGTTTCCATCCCAGAATATATAGAAGACCTCATGTTTATCTTCTCCAACAGGGATCTCGTGGCTATTAGGAAGTGCGGGCATTAGAAGGCTGCTTAGAACTGCAGCGCAGTCTTCCTTAGAGGCCTAGTTAACCCCTTAGATCCAACCTTGCAATAAAGTCTGGTTAGGGTTAAAGAACTGGGTCTCTTGGTTGTACCTATTAGTACCACCCTTGTGACTTGTGGCGTACTTCTTATAAAGATCAAAAAACTCGGGTCCAGTAATAAGTATATCCTTGCACGGTATTTAACTATTATATTATACTTCCTCTAAGATGTTATAAAGCAATATAGTGATTATCTTATTATGCTCCAGGTCTAGAGAATTATAACGTGCTTCTTAGTTAACAGATATTAACTGTATAGTGCCATCCAGTTGTAGCTGGATAGTTTCCTTGCGCATAATACTGCCCACACCACTATTAGGATCAGTCAGTAACTATATAGTCTAATTGTGTCTACTAAGTGTTTAACCAGCCATAGTAATGTGGGTTAACAAGAATCTATAATTATTACTACTATTGTTACTCTTGTGACTAGACTCACTAACAATCTTGTTGTAGACTATGTTAGTAATGTCTTTAGTTATTAAATAGGGAGAGTAGGTGTGCTGTAGGGGGTTGTAGATAGGTGGTTAGCAAGGAAGAAGTCAGCGGCAGGTGAGGTGGTGATAATTGCGGTTATAAACAGGCATAAGTTATTATGACAGTGAATAAACAGGCAGAAATTTGTTTTTGTTTGCAGTGATGAAATTAGCGACCATGTTATTAACTTTAATCTAACCTTATTAGCACTTCTAACTTACTACCTATCCCCCTTGTACTCTACAGACTCTTGTTATTAACCCCTTAAGGTAGCAACAAGTGTGGTAATAATTTTAACAAGACAAGATAGCCAACTCACCACCCACACCACCTCACAACTTATTAAGCGCTCCTCTATATATCCTGACACATGAACTACTAACCACCTATAAGCTAACTCACTAAATTAATCTAGAGTCCCTAGATAACATAACCCTACTACTTAAGCAGGAATATGAAGATAAGGACAGTGATATTGTGATAACCAATACACTATTTCCTAATACTCCACAGTAAGCAAAGGGAACCTAATATCAAGTTAATAATTATTACTCACCTTGTTACAGCTGTCCCTAATATACAGGACATCTACTTAGTAGCGGAGCTACGCAGAAGAGAAAAGCCCCTAAGGAGTACTCTTAAAACCCTGAGGCAGTCAAGTCAAGAAAGTGAAGGGCGAATCTTAACCCACAGGAGTGTCTTAATAACAACTTCAAGAGCGCCTCTAAATAGGCCCTCTGGTATACAAGAAAGGCAAGAAAAGCACAAGACAACTGGAAGTAGATGACAGAAGAATAGCAAAAGAGAGAGCTGATTCTTCTTGAGACTAGGAAGAGAGTTAACTAGTAGGTTTTCAGAAGTTATTACCCCTATTGTTATTAACCTAAAATAGTAAGAAGCAATATGTTGCTAAGCTACAATCTACAGCACCTAATAAGATAATTAAGGGGCTAGCATACTTAGCAATACAAGCAATATTGAACCCACTTTTACAGGATTTTAGTGTTACTCTAGCTTAATATAAAGACAGCTAATATACTAAGTTTAACAACAAAGGTATACAAGTGAGTACTAATACAATCAAGCAATTTCTTGCGTTATCTAACAATCCAGCTAAACTTATTAGTCATTTATTAAATTATATCAACAAGTCCTGTACTTTACTTCAGGATCTTATTAAAGATAAGAGTAATGATAATAACATTAATATAGATATAAACAATAGTAATAATAAGTTCACTAATAGCGAAGAGGATCAGGATTCTAACGCCAGTACTAATCCTCAAACTAACACTAATGAGGATGACTTGTAAGATAAGAATAACTAGGACAATAAGGAAGACTAGGAAGATAAGGAAGATTAGGAAGATAAAGACTTTATTCACCAGGATCAAGACATCCAATCCAACAAGATGACTACTAAAGAAGCAAAAGCTATAGTTAAGATTACTACCAAGCTAAAGATGTAAGTTCTAAGTGGGTAACAAACAGGGTAACAACTTACTAATATATTCTAGGCTAACAGTTACTAATGAAGTTACAATCCAGAAAGATATCTATACATAGGTTGTATTCTAAAGACACTAGGCTGAAGTTCTTGCAGAGCTACATAAAAAGATATTAGTAGTTAAGAAGACTAGTCTATTCTTCCTACCAGGCTAGCGCAAGGATCCTTCCACCCCCTTTAATGGTGTGAGCCTGAAGTGGGTTAGAATCTTCTAGGAAGCCTATTATATAAAGAATAGTAAGCATTTCTAATTTAACGCGCTTATCTATAGCTAATATTTAATAGAGCTTAAGGTTTCTAAGCCAGACTCTATACTATAGTCAGGTCCCACATTGTTTTAGACTTACTAGGAGCCTATTAATATCTTTAACTTTATCTACTATAGTGCACTACACTATATACTAGGAGCACTTAGCAAGCATCCTATTAACCTTTAGCTACCTAGGCCCCCTGAGTAGTACAACATGTTTAGTGATGATAACTATAGACAGTAGCAGGGCTTTATTCTAGATCCTTTAGTATCAAGAGCTTGTTAGACTCTAGCTCTTATAAGTATTATCTACAAGTTCCTACCAGCCAATTAGTATCTAGCACTGATTCAAGATAAGGATACTAATAAAGAAGTGCTTAAGTAGTGATAGCCTAGTATAGAGAACTAACTTCTAAGTTTAGGACGCTTAGCACAGGATAGACTATATAGTACTAGAAGGACTTAGTAGTAACAATAGTGGTAATAAAGCCGCCTACTGATGCTAGTCAGGAGTATAGCTTCTATACTAAGCTGGTTTTAATAGGGTTATTAGCTAATCATTACAAGGGAGTGGTAACAAAGGTAGTCCTAATATAGACACAAGTCCATAGTAGTGACACTAGTCTTGTGTAGAGACTTAGACTCTTAGAATATATATTAGCAAGAGACAATATCAAATTAGTAGCAGTAAGAGAATGCAACTCTCATGAGCTCTACTATAATCTGTTATTTAGTTTAGATTTGTCTTCTATGTCTATCTCTAATACTATTATATTTATAATTCTATAATAGTTAAGCATACTACTGAAGAAAGAGCACAAGCCTCCTGGCAGAACAAACAACTGTAGACCTATAAGCAGGAGCCATCTAAAGACTATAACCTGAGTACTAATAATACTATTTCTATAAGCAGTAGATTACTAGAAGATAAAGAGCCTAAGGACAATAAGCTTAAGAGTCTTAGTATAGGTCAATTATTATCTAGAATTAATTGTGTTTAGCTAAAGGATGAGCATCTATTATATTAATAGGTAGAGTATAGCAAGGTCTATAAAAAGGAATGGAACTACTAGTGGGAGTATATAAACTAGAGACTCTAAAACCCCACAGCTATTGTTAACTAGAAAAAATCTGATAATAATCTAAAGGGTATATAAGAGTACTTTATAGGTGTCGCAAAGGCTTCAGATGGAAAACCATATCTAATATGTACACAATGTACTAAACTACTAGTACACCCTGATCCAAAAGGCACTGGCACAAATCATCTAAGGGGACACCTTAGAAGCAAGGCCTGCAAAACCCAATCTAGAATTGCTGGGCACAAGGATATTAAAAGCCTCCTACAATCTAGCCAGAAAGTAGGACTATAGGTGGTAATAAGGGTGATAACAACTTTAACTAACTGAGCACAGGATGGCCTGAGATTTGCGGCTCTTACTGATAATAAGTAGAGTGAGGATACCTACTAGAAACAATAGATAAAGGTGTTAGTATTAATGAACCTGTCCTTCTGGTCTTTAGAACACCCCCAGCTTATACGACTTGTTTAAATAATCTATTAGGCACCCCCTGGGTAGGTGCTAGCAATCCTAAAGCCCCGCTATACTGGTAATACTATTAAGCTCTAGATTACCAAGGATTTACACAATATTATGAAGAAGATTCCACTAGGGGCTAAGATTAGTACTACTGTTAACTGCTAGACAAGTCTAAACTATATTCCCTTTATAGCTATTACTAGATATTTTATTAATAAACACTAGAAGATCCAGCGCGTCCTCCTTAGCTTTAAGCCTCTAACTAGTTCACATACTAGTGTTCATCTTGCTAAAGTTCTTGAACAAGTTTTTAAGATAGCTTAGCTAGATCTTAACCAACTGTTAATAGTTACTATAGACAATATAGGTAACAATAATACTCTTATAAAGGAGATTACAGAGGCAGTCAAGATTTTTCAGAGAGAGTATACCAAGGCACCAGGATCATTATATTTTAGTGTTATATATGTGCCTTGTATAGCACATGTTATTTAACTTAGTATTAAGTGCCTAGTAGATACAATTAAGATATTAGCAAAGAATAACAACATGATTACTAGATAGGAGGATAATAAGTATAATTAAGAGCAGTACACTGATTAAAGTGCAGTACAAGCTAGCGACTATCTAGTAACATTAGTAAAGGTGGGTAATAATAGTGGTAACAATCTTGCTTCTTTATCTAACTAATCTCTTTCTAGCTACAGAATATAGTGATCAAGATTAATACATCTACTTAGCGGCGTGATAATTTCAAAGCACTTTAGCCTATAACTAAGCCACTAATGCTTATCCAGGACATGCAAACATATTGGAATTTAACGCTAGCAATGCTTTAACAAGCTTAGAAGTTATATTATGCAATTAATGCCTACTCTCACCAGCACCCTATTAACAATATTAAGCCACTAATACTAGAAGAGTGGAAATATGTTGACTACTTAATACAACTTCTTAGACCCTTTAGCACAATAACAGATATAATTAGCTTATAGGGTAATAGGCCAACTATTAGTATGGTATTCCTATTATACAACCACCTGTTCACTATACTAGATAACTATAAACAGCTATTAGTAAGGAAGACAACTCCCTAGAAGCACAGACTTATAACTGCAGTACAGAAAGCATAGACCAAGTTAGCCAAGTACTATAGGAAAACTAAAGGTCAAGTTAGGGGTATTTATACAATAGGGATAATCTTACACCCTGCCTTTTAACTCTAACTCTTTCAGAGGGAGAGTTAGGAGAATAAGCTCACAGATAAGGGAGAAACATAGGTGAGTAACAAAGAGGGTAACAATTCTTTCTCTAATATACTGATTTCTTCTAGTCTGAATTTTACAAGAACATGTTTCAGTAGATCTATAAACAGTACAAATATAACCAACAAGTGTCAACTCTAAAGCCAGCCTTCATATCTACCTTTAATATAATGCGCGCTTTATTAGACCATTCTCAATCTCATGCTATAATAACACTGAGCTTAGTCTCTTAAAACAGTCAACAATCTATAGACTTAAGTCCTACACCTTACTCGTCACCTATTCCAGTTAGCAAATCAACTCAGACCCCAAGGACATTTAAAGACCTGGCCTAGAACGCTTTCAAGCCAGCAAATATAGGGACAAGAAGTGAGGTGGAGAGCTATCTCAGGGACAACCAATGTAAGTTAATATAACAATCTATACAGAGGTTCAGGAATCTAATTATATCTAGGGTCTATAATTAATAAAGGGCTGGACTGTGCATTAGAGTTCTAGAGGAAGTACCACTTATACTACCTAGTGTTATCTATAGTGGCTTGAGATTACCTAGCAATACCTGTAGCAGGTATTAATGTTGAGAGACTATTCAATATAGCACAGGATATCACATTATATTAGTGTCATCATCTAAAGGGAAAGACAATCAGAGCTTTAGTGTTTATGCGCTGTCAGACTGAGTTCTAGATGCAGCAAGAACTGGATAAGGTAGACTGACAGCTTAACATAGATCTCAGTGGCTCTAGTGGTAAGTGATTAAATCCTATAATAGGGGTAATAATGGTAGTAATAACTATTAGATAAGCTTGACAACATTATAGATACTAGAGAAGAGAATGTGAGGGATGAAGAAGAAGGCTATATTAGTGATACTAACAAGCAGGTGTTAGCAGGAGCATCAGAGTCTAGAGCAGCTGAATAGGAGTTCACAGATAATGCTCTAGCTCTACAGCAACAATTGAATAACACAGGGTTATGAGAACTAATTACTCTATAGAGAGGCAAAGAAGCAGGATGGTCTAGTATAACAGCAGTGTTTTAATTACACAAGGAAACTGGGATGAGAGAAGACATATGTCTAAAGATGAGCGATGTTAAAGATGTAGAGGGTGTTAATAGACCAATATTACTATGTGCATCAACACTAGAGGAACAAATTAAACAGAACATAGAAAGGCGCACTATACTAACACAAGGGTTAATACAATCCTTGTCAGATAGATTAGTATCTATAGCAGTGAAAAAGAAACAGTAGACTAAGCACAGAGAAGTAACTAAATATAAATATTAACACACATAGAGGTCTTATTTATATATAGTGCTCTGAATTTACAAGGTAACATAAGAGTCCACATGTTAGAGGTAATTCCTAGATCTAATAATAGGCATTTAGTGTGCAGCAATAATAGTATCAGTAGACATAAGCCACTACATATAGTGATAACATTTTCATACACAAAATGATGGTTATATTATAATGTGCGACTATCGCAGGACAAGTTGTTACCACACTTGTTACCACTAAATCATATTAAGATTAAACAGCTTGAAATTTATGGTAACAACATGAGTGCTGTAATGGGCACCCAGTGGGCAGGGCGACCCAATAGGTGATTCGCATATATATACTACTTCAGGTTTAGTCGTAATATCTTGGCGACCCAGTGGGCGCCCACCACCCGACCCCGGGGTTTTAGGGTCGGGGGCAGGGTGCCATATTTGATCACCCCACCCAAACCCGGGTGGTCTACTTTGTCACCCGACCCGACCCAACCCGACCCATTGCGCAGCCTATGCAGGAGCAAGTCTAGAACAAACACTGTCTTCCACGCGAGTCGCGTGGGAGCTTGTGTGCCAAATGTCTTGACCCCTGAGACCTTGGAGCGCCTTGTTGCCTTGTCTGGTCTCGGCAATCGTGACAAACTTATCCGCGGTCTATGAATCGTAATCTATACCACTAAGATACCTTCTCGCTCCTTAGGCCTACAACTTGATTAACAACTACTAGTATCTTGACTCGCCCTCGGGCTCTCTAACAGACGTACCAGTATCTACCAAATATATCTAGACTGCTAGAACGACTCCTTTACTTTTATATTCGCTCGTGCTTGGGTCCACCATGACGCCGTCTACACGCGAGAGGCGGCATTTACACTAATCAACAATTCTAGCGTTCAGCTCCGCGTCCACCGCGACGCCGGCCATCCCGTACAACACCTTCTCCCGCATCTCCTGCACGTGAATCCCCCTGCCATGCATCACCAAGATCCATGTGTGTAGCATCGACTCGCCATTATTCCAGAACCACTGTGCGCCCACCTTCTCCTCGATAAAGCGCTGCACATCCTGCTTCGTCAAAGCGGTCTCGTAGAGCTGCATGACATGGACTGGTGTCAGCTTAAGAACGTCGTTGAGAACGTGGTACTGCTCAATCTCATCACCCCAGCCTTCCATCATCTGCTCCCGATACTCTGATACTGGCTTCATGCGCGCTGCCTGTAGCATCGTTTCGGCCCGAAAATCGTGGAACAGGCTTGAATCCAGGGTCTCAGCGCGAGAGCCGACCGAATACTTGCTTAGAGGCTCGCTTCCTCGGCGCCAGTAGACTTCACCATCAGTCGGGCAGAAATCTGAAGCCATGGTCTCCAGGATCCCGCGGACGTCCTCCATCTCTAGGAGCTCCGGAGAAGACCATGTGCGGAGCAACTGACAGCGCTCAGAGACGACCGACGGGTTCAGACGCATTGTACGACTGGCAGAAGAGTTGTGAAAAGCAACGCTATAAAGCCAGATTCGATAGATGGCGCGGCGTAGTGCATACGCCTCGGCTGGAGTCAGACTTCGGCGAAGGTGGGCTCGTTCGCCATCCCATCGGAGCTGTGGATACATCTCTTCGTACCAGGTGGCCACGCGACCGATTCGTGAAACTTGAACGAGGAGTGCGAATGACAAGACCGGCATTCGCTTGGTATGAACTGGTTGGGCGGAATTGTATGTCAACAGCTGGTGAATGTCTTCGAGCGGCCCCCAAACGCGCTCAGCGATGGCGAACAGGACGGGGATTTTCTGGGAGGTTCGGAGGAGATGATAGTAGCGCCGACAGGTCAGGGATAGGTTGATCGCGGAGGAGATAGAAGTACAATGGCGGAAGATCTGGGACAGCATTAGTACAGCCAATGATGTGGTGGCAGACGGCTCACATTCAGTACCAACTCGGTGGGGAGGTCTTGCAGCGACATCGTTGTCGCTACGGCAGCCACGCGGCCGCGAAAGAGATTGAAATGCTCAAATGTAGGAGAACCACAGCAAAGTTGACTCTGCTGGGTGAGGCCAGAAGACTTAACAAATGACGCCCCCAACGCCAGTGAGGGTATCGAAGGAGAGGGTGTTAGATGTATCGACGGAGCGCATCAACATAGCGCGCGGCAACGAATAAAGGCTCGCCAACGCCATCGCTGTTGATGTCGGAGAAGGCATGGTTCGGCAATGGAAGTAGCACATGCGATGAAGACGGTGACTCAGACGATGATGGTGGAAAGGGATCAGGACGCAGGAGAGTCGCTAGCAGTCGGATCTTGGCGCTGATAATGCAAGGCTGGGCGAGGCTAAGGGGAATTACGCCAGGTGGTACACCAGTACGGGGAGTAGATTTGGGTCTCACTAGTAGTGATCGATAGTATCTAGTTCCGTACGGGCCTTGTTCTCTTGTTCACACAGTAGTCACTGTGACTAGGAGCAGAAAGACCCCCCAGAACCTTTAGTAGCCATCCATCAAGCAAGCGCCTCCGAGGTATTTTCACCGTGATTGAACTTTGGTGAAGCATTTCCATTGGCGCTGTGCACTGCATGCCTTCGGTGGCTTCCGTCCCCAATAACATCATATGGATGTTTCTCTTCATGTTCCTGCCGATAGCTGTCTTCTTCGTACACCGCGTGGCGGTAGAGTGCCGGATGTAAAATTCTCCATGTTCTTCGCAGCTGTACACGCCCGTACTGCGATCATGGGGCGAAGTACCCCAAGTCTGATCGTCTCTCAAGATGGCATAGCGGTAGTTGAGAACTCCGAAGCTCAGTGGGTCACGACTGCCAAAAGGCTGCCGGAATGTGAACCCTTGCTGCGCGGTGCTGTGACCAGGGAACGCGCTGAGCATTCATCGTACGGGTAGGCTGATGATGTGAAAATCCATCACAGCCTCCTCACCTGCAGACCATCGATCGATGGACCTCACCCGGCGAGGATTGTGTCCGAGGCGCAAACACTATCCAAACAACTCACGATCATCCACTGCAGATCGCTTCCTCTTCGATCCGGAATCCAGACCCAAAGCCTTCCGCTTCATCACACGCTCCTCGAGCCCAACTCTCCGGTCGGCATACTTGGCCGACTTCTTGATCAACGCCTCCTTCCGTAGTTGATTTCCGCTCACGAACTGCTTATTCTCGTAGATGACTGGTCCGCCAAAGCTGCCCTCGAGGATGACAATCGGCGTGAGCACCAGCCGTGGCCCGATCTCCAACAGGGTGACATCTGTTCTGCTGCCCTTTGGTAGATCGTCTGCGCTTTCTTTATCCTTGTCCGTCTCTCTTATTTCATAGACACGAATCCAGATCTTTCCGTCAAGACCATAGATTCCGATGATGCGATCAACGAAGGGCTTCATTCCTCTCACGCCCTTGGAGCGTACGCAAAAGACGCCTCGAAGCATCTCGCGGATTAAAGTTTTGTGCTCATGACCTTGCAAACCCTCATCAAAGCTTTTGTCAAAGACCACCACACCTCGACCGCCCTTCAAGCAGTTACCACCGAAACCAAGCTCGGCCATAGTGTGAATATTGGTGACATTGAATTTGATAGTTGGGCCGTTCGGAGCGTGCGACAACCAAAGGTAGAGGTCCTGGGCATGCTTGCGCGCTTCGAGAAAGAAGATGTAGTTACAAGAGTGTAGGTCGGCAAGAGCATTGAGGGCGGAATTGTAGTTGTTATTCGATTTCGTGTCGAGCTTGGTATCTTTGTAGGTGTGGGGAAGGAGGGCGGAGAGGTCGTTCAGGAGGTGACGTTGTCTGGATCGTCAGCTTGGAACGTAGGGAACTCGTTCGACTTACCTGTGTGAGACGCCGCGTGAGGTGAGCATGAGAATTCTGTTGCGCAGCTCGACTGGTAGTTGGGTGAGGGCGGGGGCCTCGTCTGCGGAGGCGTCGCTGGCTTCGCTTCCGGAGGTTTCATGACCGTTGAGCTCGACATCGGAGAGATCAGAACCGGAGTCAGCGCTGTCGCGATTGGCATTGCGGTATGCGGAAGCCATGGTTGTTTGAGCGTGCGGGTGAGGATGCATCCCGGAGATGATCGATGTAAATCGCAACTTTTTTTGACCGGCGCGGAGAAATGTCGCTCCGAAGCGGGACGGCGGATCCGGCGCGACGCGCTTCAAGTTGGCTTCGACGGCGACATTCTCAAGGTATATGAGATCTATTAACGCTATTGTATGCGAACCAATGCCGCTTCAACCTTCTAATGTACAAGGCGGGGCCGCTGTAACCCCATAATTGTCCTCGGTGGACAGCTATGTATCGCGAAAATTATCCACCCCGTGTCTTTATGTCGTCTTCCTAGCCCTCTCAAGTCTTGCCTTCCGCCTCGTAGCGATGTCACCTCTGGCGAGTGTTTTGCTGGCGTTAATCATCTGCGCCACGTTCAGATATTGCTTCAGGAGCATCACGGGCGCGGAAATCACCGCAAGGACCCAAGGGAACGTGCTATCCATCTTGTTTGCTCGCGCGAGCTCCATTGCTGCGGCGCTCCAAGGATTGGGCAGGATGCTGGAGGGTACCTTCGGGGATCCCGGCTGCGCGGAAGCCGCTTCGCCTGTAGGTGCGAACAGAGAGGGTGAGAGGTAGGGCGAGGAGAAGGAGAGGAGATAGAGCGCGATGAAGAAGAGCTCGTTCAAGCCGCATACAAGGAAGAGAACGGTTCGGTTCGTGTAGTAGGTGTGGAGAAGCCAACCCTGTGAGACGTCGACCTTTTTGTGGCTCGAGCTACCGGACTGCGAAAGGTTAGTATGAGAAAGGGCCACCGGGATTGTACGGACCGCGAGAGACGAGTACATATGAATGTAGTGGCTGGAAAGATCGAGACTGATCAGGAGCTGGAACAGCATGCTGTATCGAGGGAAGCCCTGCGCAAGGAAGACTTGAAGACAAACCTAAGAGGTCAGCGGAACGTAGCTTGAGCGTGTGTGTCTCTTACTGTGCAACACCGATCTGTGACCATGTCCAGCACGGCTCCAAAGCTCGAGCTCTGGTCATATTTTCTCGCTGCCCATCCATCTGCCGCATCCAGGAGGCAAGATATCGAGTAGAGTAACGCGCAGGTTCGCGGATGTCTGCGGATGTCAGCAGCGTGCACACTTCGCAGAGAGCAACCAACATACATCGGCATGTACTGAAGGGAAGCAAAGGCTAGGGCGATTCTGACATATCCGATCAAGTTCGGTAGGAAGAGGAACACGTTCTCGGTCTTCTGAAGCGACTCGTCAACCTTCTCAAAGGTATCAGCCATTGTCTGCGAAATGCTGGAGCCTCGCCGCGCTCGTGGTGCTTTAGCTTCGCCGTTGGCCTTCTTTGGAGCCATCTTAGTTATGCGCGTGCAAGGAGGATGCGGAGGTCAAGCGACTGGTTGCTGAGGGTCCTAGCTTGGGGAAAAAATTACTTAAGAGGGATGCGGACCTCACTATCTGATTGTATATCGGTAAGGCTGACAGTGTGAGCCCAAGGCTGATGTTGTTCAGTGTTCCACCAATCCCGACCCCCGCTTTCCGGTGTGACACTCCGACCTCAATTGGGCTATCCAGGAGCTTCTGAAGTCCGATTCGTGTATACAGTGGTCAGGACCTTCACCAGACCCTGTAGTGAACTCAGCGGGTTGGGGCTATCTATATGGTTCCTTGATGCTGCCGGTGTTCGCGGCATGCAACTCCAATTGCGAGTTTGTCTTGTGGAGGCAAAAGACCCCAGGCAAAAACAACAAGTCGTTGGATGGCAGGTCAGTGTCAGCATCAGGGCCACCAGAAAAACGCCAATGGGTCATGTAGTACGTCTCCTCATTGCAGCTGCGTGTGTAGGCCATGCCCGGTTGGAGTCAGACGCAAGTCGAGTCTCGGCTACCGTGCCCCCGCAACTGCCCTGCTCGCTATCTCCGGAATCATGGTGTGCGGGAGCAGAAACACCATCCCAATGCTTCACAAATGCACGTTCTGTCTTTTGCGCTATGGACTCGATCACCTCCTTCCCGGAAGCCAATCGTTCTCGCTCCTTGCTCTCGTTGATCGGGTACATGTTTCACCGCCTTCGTGAGCGAGGATCAGCAGCTTGCTCCCGCTTGAACTCTCGCGACTCTTTTGTCCCGAGACTTCCCATGCCTCCCTCCTGTCGTCGCTCCCAGCCCCCGAGTCTAACACAAAGGCAGGTGCAATTGTCGCCGCTCTGAGATATTTCGGTTGCGAAGCTGACCAGCTTTGCAGCTCCCTCCGACGGGCTTTTGGCCTCCTTTACGATATCGACACATTCCTGATCAGTCACCGACTCGCTAATTCCATCGCTGAAGAGGAGCAGAAAGCTGTACTCGGAGGACGACAAGTCAATGCGGACCTGCAATAGAGAACATGCATCAGTATGAAAACACCTTTAAAGGGACGATCGAGGGGGAAGGAAGGTCTCCTGAAGATTTGGCACTTGTAGCTTCAAGTCCGGAAGAGGAGGAATTCGTGCCAATACCGGTGCGTATCTGTGTGTCAGGGTAACTCACGATTTCAGGCTCGGCGCTGACTCCTATCGCTTTCGAGGCAGCATCGCCAAAGGCTTTTGAATTTGCGAGTCCACTGGTTCGAAGATTGATTAGTTTGAGTTGGCATAGAAGGGGCAAAGGCTCAGCCTAAGATAGGATAGTGTTGAGTCTAGGAGGGATGATCACCTTGTCGTTCTTTCTTCGCCGAAAGAATCTGTGACGAAAGATCCAAAACGACGAAGCCGAGCTGCCTCCAACGGTGAGCTCGGATGGTGAACAGACGTCAAAGGCACAGCGGAGCCATTTGCCGTTCCGCAAAGCAAAATACGCGTGTCGCCGCAATGAGCCACAACGAGCGTGCTGCTGGTGGCCGGAGCCCAAAACGGAACCGGCGATGGCGTTGAGATCAGAGCAACACTGGCAGTACTTCCGCCCTTGAAGCGCTCTCTTGGATCCACGTGGCGCTTGCCGGTCTCGCCGAGGATGTCGGCTTCATTCAGGGGTCGTTCCTGTCGGACAACGTCTCTCTCCTCGCCGCGCTTGGCTGCCTGCGCAGAAACGAAGTCGTAGTCGCACTTGAGGAAGGCGTACATAAGCACCTCTTCGATAGTGGTGGTCTGCGGTGAGTCCTTGAAGATGGAGAAATGCTGAGGCTTGAAACGCCGGAAATAGCCGCCGACGAGAGCCTTCCATGAGTCGACAAGATTCTTCTCGAGTGTGGCAATTGCATCGTTATCCCCATCTTGAGGCAGAGGCTTCTCTTCTGTGGGAGCATCGAAACCATTCCTGGTGTCGATGGCTTGCAATGCCTTTTCGCCCCGTCTTACTGTCTCAGCATCCTCAAGACCAGCCACATGCCCAGTGGCGTTCTGCAAACTCGACTTCAAGCCAAAGTCTAATGCCGACTGCTCAATATATTGGTGTAATTGCTCCCGTAGATATCCACTGCACTCAGCGCCCCCATGCCCGTCAAATACGCCAAAATAAAAGACTTGTGGATCGCCGCTCTCGCCGTCGGCACTGGTGCCTTCCCCGCTCTTGTCCAGGCGTAAAGACCGTGGAGGGCGTTTCGCGAACGCAGGAAGATTTATGACGCCTGCTTGATGGTTGTCCTCTTGGTATGGCCGGCTGCCACGGCTGACGCTCACTCCGTAGTGATGTTTAGCACTTTTAAGAGGAATTCGGACAGTAGTCACGTCTCGACTCGCGGTCGGATGCCGGAGAGCAGCTGGACTTCTTCCATCGGGCTTGTGTGGGGTTGACTCTTTCCGGGGGAACTTGTGGGCCAGACCGGTGGACGAGCGTGAGTCTGGATGCAGACTCGAGCTCGGTAGGTGTGTAACGAAGTCTGCGCGGGTCAGTCATAGGCAAGGCCGCGCGGCGAAACTCACAGTCATGGAATAGTCTTCGATGCGAACGTGGGGTCAGTCGCAACCACGGACATCTTGCGATCAGCACGAGCGGCTCGGTAGAGCTCGCGATGAGCGACATGGCGGCTGATGAAGCTGCAACGCCATGTTAGCTCAGCAGCTCATAGCTGTGGCGTGGGTAAAGCGAAAGCAAATGGCAACCGACACACGGGTAGAAGGAGGTTACGGCTCGGTTCCAATGACGTGAAAGATGCTGTTCGGCTAACGTTCCTTAGCGGATGCGAATGCCAAGATATTTTACTGCCTGATCGCCCTAAACGTGGATATATGCCTAGACATACTTACGTACGGGTGCGGCACAAGCCGCTTCAGAAATGGGCAATGGACCACTCTATTGGTATGGAAGATCTATGAACGTTACAAGCGCCATAGCTGTGCAAATAACTGGACGAGCCAGCTGCAATCGCAGTGCAGTGGCCCACCAACTCGTGTCCTCGCAATGCAACTCGCGATTCTAGATTGCCGTTGATGGAGGTCCCCTTTCCGCTCCCACTGTGCGCAAACATCACAGCTTTGACGCTTCCGCCTCTCTGCTCCCACCGTGTACCTCTGGTCCTCTACCCTGGCACGCCGCGTAGGAGTCAAAGCTCTCGTCGCCGTTGAAATGCCAACCCCGTTCCGCCCCTTGCGATAGATGTGCACAGTCCGAGTTCAAGGTACACTCAAATCCGCCTCCCACGCCTTCTCCACCATTCTTTCTCTCAAACCGCGAAATGCCACATGTGTAGCACTTGAAATCATCGTCGTCCAAATCATCCGGCGTCTGACCGGTCAACGCTCTCCCACTTGCAATAATCTGCGCCGCATGCCCGCATATTAGTACCGTAACATCCATCTCATCTTCTGCATCCACCGACCGGACCACCAAATCCAACGCCTCCTTCACCCGCTCATGCAGTTGCACGATCCTCTCACCCTTCCGCTCCGGCACCAGCACACTCGCATATCCCTCATCAACCCACGGGAACCAGCCCTCTTTGAGCCTCGCCGCCGTGGCTGGCACCGGCTGATCAAACCAAGCCTTCCCGAACCACTCGCCTAGACCGCGCTCGCCCCGCACTTTGATCTTCTTTTCGTCTGGTAGCTCCGCGTTGAGGCCTTCGATCGTTGGCCGCAGCGTTTCTAAGCAGCGATAGAATAGGCTCGAGTACACTCTTAGCTGTCCTTCGCGTGCCAGTGGCAGCAACTCCTTCGAAAGGTAGGTCCCCGTCTCTTCAGCTTGCCGAACGCCGTGGGATGCGAGGGGCGGATCCGCGGGGAGACGCGTGGGGTACGGGTGTGTGGAGGTGTATTTGCCGGTGGAGGGGTCAAGGGTCCAGGCCAGGCGGTGGCCGTGTCGGAGGAGAAGAACGGTAGTCACTGGCATGGCGGATTGATGAGGACGCGTTATTGTGGTGCTTTCATGCTGGAAATGCTGGCGTAAAGAACGGAGGGTATCAGGTGGAAAATGAATAGCGACCACGCACTTGGCCGCAGCCGAGGTACTACCGTAGGCAGCGGATCCTTGGCATTTTTTAGTGCGGCATTCCAGGCATAGGTATATATCTCTCTAAGATGCCCGATAGCTTGAGATCATGCCGCTTCATGATGTTTATGAGCTGACTATCTATGGCTTTCTCTCACAAACAGTCCGCCTACCACCCGCCGCCTCAACTCCAGCAGCATCAGCGCCCCAATTGCATAGGCCACACCCGTATAAACCTGAGGCCAAAGGAAGGGCCGTCCAGACTCCGGCTGCCTGATTTCCAAAGCGATAGCTTGTGCAACTGTCGCATGTCAATCTCCAAAGACGACCACTGCGCCGCGTGTTACTTACAAAGTGAAGGCATCGACACCGTTAGCCACTGCAGACACAGCAGCGAGGCCAGCTGATTGAGAGGCACGACTTCGGCACATATAGGGGCAATTGTGGCCCAGAAGACTCCACACGTGGCGCCATAGATCAATGCGAGGACGATCAAAGGTGCGTACGTCGTAACAGGAATCCAGAATGCAAAGGCCAGTAGACTGTTGACGGCAGTGATGGCGCCGGCAGTGGTAATGCGGCCAAATCGATCTGATATAATTCCGATCAGAGGGCGACCGAGGCCTGTACCCGTATTGAGTATGGCGATCACGTTGCCGCCTTGTTTCTGCGTGTAGCCCAGCGAGACGGCGAAGGCGGAAAATGAATAAATGACAGTCATATAGCCCAGAGTGGTGCAAGCCGTGTATCCACAGAGCAGTAAGACCTAGGTCGTCAGCATTGCGCAAGTAAAGCTTCCTCGTATACATACGTTAGTCTGCCGGATCAAATTGGTGTCAAAAGGACGAATATCTGGTTGGACGTGGGTGTTTCTGTCGCGAATCAAGCAGCAGCTGATGAACAGCATCACGAAGGAGGTTATCCCTGTAATTCTGAGGGCCCAAGCAAGTGAGAGGTTTTCAATCATCGGAATCGTCGCCACAGCGTACACGACGCCGACTATGCCTGAGCCCGAGCTTGCGATGCCTTGAGCAAGGCTCCTTTTCTTCAAGAACCTGAGATATCCTCTATCAGTGGGGTTTCAGCATCAATCAGAGGCGCATACCATTGTGGAAGGATGGGAGCAGCAGGCAGCCAGATCAATCCAGCGCCGATGCCAATGAGGGCACCTTGTGAGAGCAGAAGCTGGTAATATAGTGTGCTCCACGACGCGCATAACCAGCCAGCCAACCAAAGGAAACAGCCGGCGATCATTGGCGCATGTGTACCGAAGCCTGCATCCTGTCAACACCTATTCCGATTTGCGGCTGGAGTTGAGCTACTGCAGGACGGACATACGTTTGATCAGGATGTTCACAACTGGTGCACCTGTGTTCTGTCAGTCTTGGGCAACAAATGTAGGGAGGTTCGCGGCCAGGCGAGCGCTGGCTCCAGCCGTCTTCCCGAGTATCATAAGAGTCAACACGTACAAAGCATCGCGGCGCAGAAGTTAACACCACCGATGAATGAATATGCAAGAGGGTTTCCTCCATACCCACCGTGGTCGATGTAGTAGGAAAGATACCTAAGGCTCAGATTAGCGGTTGCCTCCACATCAATAGGTCTGCCTCACACGCCATAACTGGCCAGATTGCCCCATGTTGCGCCATTGATCAATGTGAAGGATATACAGCAGATCCATCCGTAACCCCTAGAAGACATGAGTTAACTTTGTTCTGACCAAGTCGGATCTCAATAGAGATGGAAGGTTCTATGAGCCACATAGCTCGGAAACAGACCGAACGATCTATAAATCAGGCACTCTGGCACCGTTCCCGAGCTCGAAGAACATCTCTATGTCTTCTGTATGAGGAGTTCTAACACTCCTTGGATCTGAGACAACTTACTGCTCAGCAGTCAGTACAGTGTCAAAAAGGTCAAGCCGTTAGGGTATGTGAGAGACCGATAGGTCATATAGGAAGTCAATCAACCTCCAACTACCCAGAGACAAGTTTGCTGAGAGCTCTTACCCCGTCTGGTGGCGTCGAGTCCTCCGTCACAGTAGCGACAGCGGCGTCGGCGTCGAATGGCACGTCATCCTTGGTCTTCTCAACGTCCGAGCTCGGCATTGAGGCGGGTGCGCGAATCTGGTCGTCGAGGGAGTCAGCGCAAGGAGTGCGAACTTTGCTAACATTGCGCTCTGGTTGGGCCCATCACGCCTTTTGTCAAAAAGCGCCGGAGCTCGTTGAAAAAGCCCGTCATGATCGCTGGTGGATATCGAGTGTTAGTAGTGCAGTGGACTTCCCCGCTCCAAATTGACGAGAGAGCCGGGAAAAAAATTGGAGAAGCTCAATGGAGTGGAAGATAATCCGAAAGCTTATTGAGAGCCGCATTATTCCTTGAAATATAGTAAAATACCAGCTCGTGGGAATTGATCACTCAGTGCATAGCGCAACACTTACTTCGGCCACCAGGCATTGATCAGCCACAAAGAAATGAACAAAACAGTTACTTTCCCGTGCAACTTTCTGTCTTCTGACACTTCGGGCAAGTTCTTCCGGATAGCCTCCGGCATAGATCCCCAGACGGGCTGGGCCATGTTCTTCTCTGGGTCCCATCCTTCATCAACTTGCTTCGGCGCAATCGAGTCCACAATAATACCTGTCGCCTTCGCGGCTGCTTTGCATGCCCAGAGAAAGACGGCAGTGAGCATGCACACCTCCGTCCAGAACCTCCAACTACCTTTCGTACTGCGCTCGGACCAGCGGCTGTCAATAATGCCAAGGTGTAGAATGCCGTGAGTATCGGCTGCAAGCCAGATGTGGTATTGAAGAACGAATGTCTCTAGGGAATGCCGACCAAACCATGCGAAGAAGCGGCTGTAGTGGCTCCTAAGGACCGAAGTCCCGTTCCGAAGAACGACGAATCCGATGATCGGAATTGGCGACAAGTAAGGATGATAACGATTGAACATCTGCTTATCACCCAGGAAGCTCGCAAAGGTAAAGTACCCGAGCAGAGCACAGCTGGCAGCTATCCAGAGGTACTGCTTTGCCCGAAGTTGGTGGAGGTGCAAGAATTCAAATTGCGAACGTCTCTCTGCGGCAACTGCCACGACAAAGGCGAACAGCATACCAACATAGGGCGCATAGAAGTCCAGACTGATCCGAAAGCTGTATTCTTTGAAGTCGAGCGTGATCATTCCAACATGGAAGAGAAGGGCGAAGAAACCATCAACCAACCAAACCGTTGACAACAAGCCGAAGATTGACATTGAGCAGACCAAAGCGACGGCCGCGATGGACAGCCTTACACCTTCTGGAGGAGTTCGCGGGATAGTGGCCCAAGTCACAACGAACCAGACTGAAGCCAGCAGGGGAAAGTAGTAGAGCTGGTAGAAGGTCCCCATGATGAACGAGAGTGTGCAGCTCAGCAGGTTGATGCGGACTAGAACGGCGGTGAGCCTGCGTAAGGAGAAGTCGCCTGTTCGAATGAAATAGCTCGTGTGACCAAAACCCGTCAAAAAGAGATAGGAAGCGACCATCAATCGAATAAGCCGATAGACCCATAGAGTTTGAGACATGCCGAAAAAGTGGTAGAGCAAGATCACAACCTGCATCCATCCTTTCCATTCCTCGGTTTGCTGTCGCGGAAGAATCGTGTCGGCCCAGGTTTGGCCGTCGTCCTCATGGCAGCGCACGATTGTGAGCAGCCCGCACACGAGAGCAATGTAGCAGAATGCGATGAAGAGGTGCTCATCAATGAGCTTAGTGGCCTTCTCAAACAGTGTGGTTCGATCGGCGAACAGGCAATAGCAGACTGTCAAGGATATCATCCCTACAGCCCCAATGAGCGAGGAAGAGCCTCGGTTCATCATCAAGCAGATGATGGCGAGTAGCGCAGCCACAGTAACTGCAAGCATCTGACCAAATGAAAAATCCATGGATCGGGAACAACAGCTATGGTCATACGCTCTGGGACAAAGTCGAGCCGTCAACACCTCAAGCTGCATTGTGGAGATGATTCGTTTATGATGAAGACCATCCTCCTCGTAAGCCGAGGGTTGATCACGGATGGCTGGCAGGGTAGCCAACATCATATCGACATGATGCTCGGCGGACAAATTGTACAGTAGCTGGTTCATTCTGGTGATACGCTTCGGAGTCAGCATCGACGATCGCTCGTGGTTCAGAAAAGGCTGGTAGGGAGGAATGATCGGCATGAAGATTGGTCTGGCTTCAGTCTCTCTGAGACCGTTCCGGCTTCTCACTAGGCGGCGAATGTCGGCCTCAAAATCCTTCTCGTAACTATCGTTCAGATATCTGGCGTGCCACATGCCCGATCCAACCACGACGGAAGAGGGAGAGCGCCACTGGTCAATATGCGCATGAGGTGCTGATTTGGTGTTTCTAAACCCGACAAGATGCGTGTAATTCAAGTAAGGATCCCAGATGAAGTCGATTGATTCACCTTCGACGGTAAATGATAGGTTGGAGTGCACGGGAGCATCTTCATGAAGACCAGGAAGCCTCCATCGCGCCTCAAGTTCGGTGAAAAGCTCGCGAGCGGAAGAGTCGCCGATCAAATATGTATCTTGAAAGCAGGTCTGAATAGGGTGGGGGTTGACTTTGTAATTTGGTTTCATGCAGCCAGCCGGATGCCATTCGAGATGTGGAGAGCCGGTCGAGAGATCGTGGGACCAGCGACCATGTTCAAGAAGTGACTTGCATCGAGAGAGATCGTTGTCTGACAGGCATCAGCGGGGCAAAATCGGACTGGTAATCTTCTTACCATGGTAACGCTTGAAGAGCAGACAAATGAGGGTCAGGCCGACAATGAATATGAGCATGCCATTCAAACGGCCATTGCTGAGAGCCATGTTATTGACGGCATCATCAAGTCAATGACTGAGTTGAGTGACTGAAGTTGACGATGATAGATGTCAAGGGCAATCAATGAATGCACAGACCCAAAGGGGTTGTCTAACCTTTGTGCCCGGACGCGTGTTGACGCGTGGCTCTGTCGAGAAAATGCAGGCAGTCAGGATCTCGGCAAAACCCCTGCTCCAGGTCCGATCGCAAGGCAACGGACGCCTAGTTTTCTCCCCCTCTTGCACGTGTTTTCGGCACTGTTTCAGATTTCTGCAATGCTCTTTAGCGAATCTCTGGATCGCCCATCCAGTCTGCCAATTGAATACCCACAGCTGCGCTCCCTTCCATGGCATCCAAACGCTTCTTGCCTTTCCTCCGAAGCGGCACTTTGTGCTCTCGCAGAACCGTTTCATCCCTTGCGAACACCTGAAATCCCCTAACGTGCGTATCTTTGCCGTTCTGATGATTTTCGCAGATCCGCACCTGCACGACCATAGCCTTCAATACATCTCCCGACTTTGCTGCGTCCCACTCTCCCATTGCCTCATCGTCCTCTGCAGTATCATAGTAGCGCTTCTCCCTGCCTCCAACACCGGTCAGATCCACATCAATCCAACCCTTGACGCTTTCCACCATGCTCCTGACCTCACCCGTCACCGGATCGGTCTCCTCCGTCATCACCCATTCTCCGAACTCAACCAACGCGCCCTCGCTCATGCCCGCGTAGAACTTCATCTTTGTAGGCGTGTAGCTCTCATCCAGCTCAAAATCCAAATACACGCGCATCTTGACAATGCCGACCAACTTGAAGAAGTGCAACGTCAGTGTGTGCGGCTGCGGCCCATCGCTCTGCCAGAAATGGTTTGTATCTGGAGAACGAAGCTGAGGAAGCGCGCAACCCGGTTTGGCGGAAGATAGTGTCCAGGTGGCGAGGCTAGAGATGTCACGTAGGCCGAGAAGCTCTTTCGCATCTTCGGCTTCTTGGTGAATGGATGAGAGGTAAGACTGTTCGGCAGGCTCACCGACTTCGGAAGGGGCACTGAGGGCATGGGTAGAGGCTTGGGATCCTTCGGCTAGGTCGCCATTGGGTGCAGGTGTGGCTTGGTTGCGCGGTCTGCGCGACGCGTTGTTTTGCTCGGGCACGATCGATTCATTGGGGTTGTGGGCGGGTTGCTGCGTCGTCAAGAAAGGAGCGTGAGGTGGTGTATCGAGCATGAACGGAGGGATCGTAGCCGTGATGGCATTGTGTCCAGGACGCGTAGGTGTAGTGGTGGGTTGCTCGTCCGTAGGCAGCGGGCCGCGTCGCGGTGCTCGAGGCATCTTGGATCTGAGACCAGAAACTACTGATCTGTCATCCGAAATCAAGTAATTCGTATCCTCGAGCCATGGCTTGCGGTACTTCAGCAAGCCATGATGGGAAGCTCAACGAGTGTTGAAGGCGTTGCGTTGGTGCAAGGTGGGAAAAGCAAATGTCACCCCGCGGACCCGAGATACGAGCGGGATCTCCCAAACAGCCACCCACCATCCAGCTACCCCTTTCTATCGTAGCCTGGTCTAAAATATCAGCCATGCATCTGGCATTAATCTCTCTACGTACAGTTGACTGACGTCCTACAACTGTGTGGACGGCTGTGCTAGGTGTCGCCCGTTGCATTGATAAAGATTGCTAGCTTGCTGCGAATATATTTGCTGAAGCCTCCCATTACAGCTCGCCCACTTTCTTCTCCTCCATTCGATGCATCGCCTTCACTCGCCTCTGCACCCACTCTTCACATGCGATCTCATCGTACTTCTTTTCCTCTCCCTCGCCTACACAAGATTCTAACACGCCACAACTCTCATTCAAATTGAACCCAAAGAAGAATGGCATACTAATTCTCTCCTTCCCACTGTAGTTCTGTGCTCGATGTACCGTGCTGACGTACCGATCATTTGTGATTCGTTGCATGTAGTCGGCAAAATTGACGACAAAGGTGCCCTTGGTGGGTGGTGCATGGATCCACTGTCCCGCCCGGTTGAGCACCTGCAAGCCGCCGGCGTCGTCTTGCCAGAGAATGGTGAACAGCTGAAAGTCCGTGTGCGAGCCAATGCTAACCTCATCCTCCAGCGAGGGCGTAGCAGGCTTCGGGATGGGTGGGTAGTAGTTGAGTGCGAGAGCGGCATCGGGATGAGAGAACTTCTTGTCGAAGAAATCTTCCGGCAGGGAAAGTGATAGAGCGAAGCTATGGACGAGAGCGCGAGCGAGATGGAGGCAGGACCGCCAGTAGGCGATGATGGAGGGTTTGAAGTGTGGAAGATTGCTCGTGGCATCCCAATGGAACTCTTCTTGTCGGAGGTACTTCTTGATCTCAGGCGGCATGGTGGAAGGGTCGGGCACGTCCGGGTCATATTTAGGATCGTAAGTCCAAGAGAACGTCTCGCGGACATCGACGGACTCGGAGGCATTGATACGCTGCGACTGAGGAGGTTTGTAGCCATTGAAGTATTTGGAGTACTTCACATTTGCACGGTCTTTGATATCGGCCGGTTGCCGAAAGAAGTCGAGGAGAGCAGAGTAAGCTGCATCTGGTATGCTTGAATCGATGCCATGGTTGCGAATGTACATGAAGCCATTGTTGGTGGCAGCATCGTGTATCTGAGCCGCTACCGCTTTACGATCTTCGAAAGACTCACTGAAGATACCACTCACATCGATGAGCGGGATCTCCGATGGCAGGGCATTTCGGATGGGTGTTCGTTGAACATCCCTCGTGACGATGCCGTTACCGGATGATAGATGGAGCTTGGTGTATTCGGTAGAATCCTCTGTAATTGTGGACGTACTCGCTGCCATGGCCAGCACTGGATCCGAGGGAAGTCAATGCTCAAGCCCAGAACCAGGAAGTTGGCCTTGCGTTTTGATCCTACTAACCAGGCTTAGATCTGACTTTCCGGTGGCAACTCCGTTGACAAGGAATACTAGATAAGGTCGGATCGGAGGTGTAGTAGGGGTTGGACCATGGTGGGCATTGCCCGGCCGGTCGCATGTTCACTGCCTGAGATAGCGGGGAAAGCCTAGCTGCATACGCCGAGAGTGCCACGCAACGTTAAAAAGGACATTGGCACAAATCCTAGATAGCGATCATCCCTGCTTTTATCGGATAGTATCCCTGCGTCTCGTACCGACCTTCCACCACATGCTAGTGCACTCAAGACCAGATTCTGCATCAGTTCTTCGTTTCAGCGGTCACCGCAACCCGCTCCGGTTCAAGCTCATCAGACGCAGCAGATGTAGCCTCCAGCTCTACTTGCTTCTGTGCCAGTGATCGCATCTCAAAGAGCCGCACAACCACCACCCAAACGCAGAGGCCAATGATGAAACCAAGACTGGCCTTGAAACCCTTGCTGAACTCGGGGGCGTCCGTGACAGGGTACAGAAACTGCTGTATGATCGTCGTGAGGGCAGCTCCGAAGCCTGTTTCCCAGCGTCAGTCAGAGTTAGGCTGTAACAGATGGGGACCTTACTATTCATGACAGCGAGTGTCAATGCACGGACTTGAGAGTCACCGGAAGTCAGAATGTTGGCCCAAGCGTAGAATATGGGAGACAGGGGCCCGTCAAGCCCAGCAAACATGTATGAAGCGATCTTGAGCCCCAGAGGTATGTCCCAGATGACGAGGCAGACGGTTCCGAAGATGAGAATTCCCAGATTGAGTGCCACGGCGTTCATTCTGTAGCCTGTAGCATCGATGTAGACGTTGAACAGTAGGAGACAGACAATGTTGAGCCCGTTGATCGATGTCGGAATGTTGTTGACCTGCCAGGGTAAGTCGACATCATTAAAATCAACGGCAAGCGTACCTCATAAAGCGTCCACGAATGATCAGGATCGTTCTTCAAGAACAGCTGCGCCACAGTATTGGCAACCTTTCCCACAGTTGTGTTCCAGAACATCCAGAGGATCGTGAGTACATAAATTTGCCAGGTTTGGAACGTTCTTCGGAAGAGGCTCCAGGAGAAGTCTGACACCTCTTCTCGCCCATCTTCGACCAGTCGTTCGACGCATCTGGCTTTCTCCTCCTGCGTGAGATAGAACGCCTGGGTGTTGTACGGTGTATCCGGGAAGAAGATGTAGCCGTATATCGCAACTACCACCGTGATAATGCCATCAAAGATGAAGACCCATCGCCTGTCCTTGGTTAGCAAGAGTCCCAAGGTCGAGTTGCATCCTCTCACCAGGCCTCCAATCCGTTCCTTCCATCCATATCCGCAATCATGGCCGACTGGAGATAGCCCGACACCATCGTTCCAACGTAGGCGCTGCAAGCAAAGATGGCGGTGCGTTTGCCGATCTCTGTCCTCTTAAACCAAGATCCGAGGCAGTATTGCACACCGACAAAGCATGATCCTTCCTGTGGTACCCAGTCAGCTTCATGTATTGGTTTCAGACGTTCTCAAGATACGTACCAACAATCCGACGAAGAAGCGAATGGGATATAATTGACTTGGCGAGGTCACGGCGTATGTTCCGATAGTCAAGATGCCCCAGATTAGCTCCAACCCTGGCAATAGGATGCGGGGCCGGATGTGGGAGAGCATGAGGTTGGCAGGGATAGGACCCAGGATCTGTCTGGTTCTAGTACGGCAGCAGCTCCATGAGAGAGGGCTTTTACCTGTCCGATCTGAAAGCACGTTACAGCCAGGTTGAACTCGGTGCCGAACATCTCCAGGTCCTCGCGCATGCCAGACACATATGCATTGCTCAAGTTGGCTTGGTCGAGCCATTTGGTGAAATAGGCCAAGCAGCCATATGTCAGGATGAAGAAGTCGATCTGCCATGGTCAATTCGTGCTTGATTCCACCGGCGTGGCAACCCACCTTGTGCAAGAGCTTCTTCTCACTCGAAGGTGTGCCCTTTGGGTACCATAGAAAGAAGTCTGGACGATCCTTGCCGTACGACGACGAGAAGATGTTCTTGAGGTAGTACCCCGTCGAGAGTGCCATATCGTTGCTTTGACAAGCCGAAGTCTGGAGGACGAGTTGCGGAAGGACGAGAACGAGGTGTGGCCCACCGATATATCAGATGACCGGTCCGGTCTCTGACCCCATACTCGTTATCGCATGTTTCCGGTACTGAGAAGGTCGAGAACGAAGCCGTTGCCCCATTCTTGCGCTCGCTTGTGGGCCAGCGATTACACGCTCCAATCTGCACCGCTTCGTTGCGGTACTGCGCTGATCTGCGTTCTCAACGGGCATGCCCACATGTTTGGCGTGAGGCTAGCGGGAAAACGGTATTTAATCGGCTTGTTTGTCGAAGGTCGAAGAGCTAGGGAGTCCCGGACGAATCACACCTTATACTTGTGCGTGGAGTAGATAGGTCGTCTTCTTGTCGCATGGCACACCATCTGGGCTCGGATGTGGGCCGATGCTCTTCGTCGCATGACCGCGGGCTTTCGCAATGTTTGCGATCCCTTCAAAGACAACAAATATCTGCACCTTATCATTCAGACGCCTGGCCCAAACCTGCAGACTGCCCTAGATTCACCGCCATCATGGCAGAGGTACTGAATGCGCCTGTCCCAGTATTGGACGAGAAGGTAAAATTGACGCTCAAGCGTGAGTAGAGGGCAAGATCAAATGCTGACCCAAGCGCGACAGGAGAGCAGCAAATATGTCTACTTCCACTCAGGCTCGGTCAGCATCCCTCAGCGAAGACAAGCACTGTCAAATAGCTGACTGTGGCCGTAGGAAGCAACCTACCGCAAAGTGTCGGAAAAGCCAACCGGGTTCACTTCTATACCAACCATAGACATCGCCAATATCGACGGTAGTCTCGAACAGCGCAAAGCTATTGCTAAGGAGGTCTACGCTGCCTGCTCGGACTGCGGATTTTTCTATATCAAGAACACCGGCATTCTCGACTCCGCCATGCAGGGAGTTTTCGATCTACTGAGGCGCTTCTTTGCTCTGGACATCGAGACCAAGATGGACGCGCACGTTCAGAAGAACCCCGCCATTCGAGGGTACGAGCCGATGATGGAGACGAGGTTGGATCCGAGGACCAAGGGAGGTAAGCTGGCCCGGTCGATGCATGCTATTTGTGTATGCTGATGACTGCAGACATAAAGGAAGCCTTCACAATGGGCGATTGCTTCCTAGAACCGGAGCAGAAGTACACCGAGAAGACGGGAAAGACCCCGCCAGCCCATGTCACTCAGCCGCAGAACATTTGGCCTTCGAATGCTCCATGGTGGCGGCAAGGTCTGTACGAGTATTATAACCTTGTTCTGCCGGTCGCCATGAAGCTTGTGAAGATAATCGCCCTGGCATTCGACCTAGACGATGACGCATTCGATGATATATTTAAATTTCCCATCACCGGAATGCGGCCTCTGTACTATCCTCCCACGCCGGTGGATCAGGATTCGCAAAGCGTCGGCTTGGGCGCACACTCGGATTTCTCCTGGCTCACTCTTGTGCTGCAGGACAATGTGACCGCTCTCGAGGTGCTGAATCAGGATGGCTTATGGGTAGACGCTCCGCCACAGCCGGGAACTTTTGTATGCAATGTCGGACAGTACCTTGAGCGACAGTCCAATGGTAAGTTTCCAGCCACGGTGCACCGGGTGCGAAACAAGACAGGCCTCGAAAGATACTCGTTACCGTTCTTCCTGACACCAGACGCCGATGCTGAGGTGGATGTGCTGGACTGTTGTATCGGCAACGAGGGTAAGAAGTTTGACAAAACCAACGTCGGAGATCTCTACATCAGGCGAGTTCTGCCAGCAAGGAAGAAGCACCCCACATCCATCAAGTATCAAGATGTGCCTGAGGCTGAATGGCGATATGATATGCTGTTGACCTGAGTGGGCATCCATGGTTGTCGCGCAAATGATGTGCTCGGAGGGGTGAAGTCTTTGGCATTCTCCATATAGACCATCGTTACGAAGCGCATCGCTTAACCACATTCACGTCTCTTCGATTTCTTCGATCTCTTTGGACTCACAGGTCGTGGCTTCTTCGCAAGCCCGTGCCCAAAGCACAACATGGAAATTCGATGTGCTTGGTGGTGGCGGATGTGTCCGGCAGCCTTCGCTTAGGGGCGACCCTGCTGTAATGCGGGTCATGTCGTGCATGGTACAGACATCTTCCATTGGCAGACACGTTCTGCCACCAGGACGGAGTGTACAGGATTCGTGCCCCCCTGGAGCAGAAGCGATGAGTAAGCTGCAGGCAGGCTGCAAGGGAGACGGGTTCGACCAAGCCACCAAATGCTCTAGCTATAGCTCTGTGCATGCCCGAGCCTAGCCGCCCCTTTTCCAATGACCACATCATGTTCCAAGATCTTGTCTGATGAACCAAAGTTTGCGAGTGAAATGAAGGCGTCGTTGTGGGTACGTCAACCCGAAGTGGCAGACAGCATTCCTGTTCGTCGATGCAGAAGGACGAACCCCTGGAGTCGCAGAAGTCAACGTCATACCCCCCTTGTCGTAGACTCTTGGTGTCAGTGCCAGCACAGCATCGCGGATTTCTAATTCCGAGCAGTCTCATTAGTAGTTCGACTGCATCATGACACTGAATCCTGCACAGCTGGCCCAGTGCTGGTCTGTAAAAAAAGTCACTGGGACCTTATAACATCATCTGGCAGGACAGCATACACCAAGATGGAAGCCCCGACCAGGACTAGTGAATCTAGGACATTAGCCGAAACCAATGGAGAGGAGACGACCCGCATTCGACTTGCCATCAAGACGCCTTCGGGACCCTTGTCATTAAACGAGACCGCGGTACGAGCTTTCTTTCAACGGTACAGCCATCATCTGCAAGCAGCTTTGGACGATGTGATAGACGGAGCCACGATAGCGAAAGGGTTTTGGGCCGACCAATTTGTCAATTCTTCGCCCGATACTCTCGTGACTGGCAGCGACCCACAGCACCTAGCCTCTTCCATCGACGAGGTGCTGAGCGGCTACAAGCAGCAGGGTATGCGGCGGATCCATGTGCGAGACATCGACGTGAACCAACTTGATGATTGCCATGCTGTCGCAAGCGTGGGATGGTCGTTGTTCAGGGACACAAATGACTCGGGCCACGCAGGTGTCGACTTCGATGCCAGCTACTTCGTCAAGCAGGCGAAGGGGACCGACATGAGGATTTTTGGTTGGGTGGAGGGCCGGCCGAAGACTATATGACCAAAGAAGTCGTTATCGTGTTACGCTTGGAGTGCTTGGAGTGTTCAAAGGGTTTGTGATTCTATTGAGAAACAACCAAACAGGTCCGTTTTCCTCGAGGCCTCTTCTCTGCTCCCTCCGCAGACTGTTTTCATGCCGGCCAGATAAGTTCCAGGCTATCATGCTTCATAAAAAGCTCCGTGCAGATCACCACCAAGCGCCGTCGCCATGCTTTATGGGAAGTTGTCCAATTCATACCGATTTCACTTCTTCCTTCCTTCCGTATCGCTGCTCACGCCACTTCCTGTTCCACCAGGCGCCTTCTTTTTGGCCCGTAAAGTCTGACCCTGACCTGAAAACACCAATTTCTTCTCACCTTCACCGATTTCTTCCCCCGCTTCACCACTCCTCCTTAGCGGCTTGATATCATAGCCGAAGAATAACTTTCCCTCCGGTAGACGAAGAGGCTGCGGACCGTTAACATTGCGGCGTGGAGCTGGGACCGTAGGATTCGTGCTGGCACCTGCAACAGGTGTTGATGGCTTGGGCGTAGGGGCCTTGGAGCCTTTCTTGAGCGTGTGACCTGACGTGAGAAAGTTGGAGGAGACCGCTCTGACACCGGCAGCGACCTCGTTGCTACCAGGAGCGATGCTGGGGTAGTTGATGCTTTGCGCCATCGTGCCCTGGAACCGCATAGGTCCACCTTTCGGTCTTCCTACACTGCTCGCGGGTGTGCTCGTACCGCTTGTACGTTCCGGCTCTTTGTATCCGACCGGGGCAGAGAATTCGACCTTTAGATCCGTCTCCATAGTGACGATACCCATCTTCTCTGTTTCAGGCTTGACATCCTCCACAGCCATATCATAGGTCTGGTCATTATAGCTGAATTGGAAAATATCGCCCTTTGTAAGGCACGAAAAGCCGCGGAAAGCATTCTCCAACACGGCTCGGGGGTCTGAGATCTCCAGGAATTCGGTGGATTGAGGCTTGAGTTTGATAAGGCTGCCAGGCGGTAAATCAGTGGACTTGACCTGGATGATGTCGCCGACTGATACGCCGAGTGTCTCCATCATCTGCACTTCGTCAGAATCTGCGGCCTCTATCAAGTGCTGCAACGTACCCAGTGCGGTAGATATATCCTGCCTTCCTCCGCCACAAATTCCAGCACGCCCGCATGAGTCATCTTATCTCGATTGTAAAGCTCGAACAGCATCGGATAGGCAATGTGCAGCATGGTGAGCTTCTGCAGGGCGCTCGGTGGCATGAACACCTTGCCGCCGAAGTTCTGCGCCGTGCGGTCAGGTCCGTTCATCATAACGACGGGGTAACAGCGGTAGTATTCGTCGAAGCGGCGCATCGAGGCACCGGTGGGCGGCCGACGACCGTAGCCATAGTTGTATGAGAATGCCTGTCAATGTCAGCGGACTGCTCGTTGCTGAAGGGCTTCATAGCGCTTACCATAGTGGCGTTGCTGCCGACTAGTAGCTTGTGTCGGGAGACTCGTAGAAGTAGTTGCGACAGCGGTCAAGGCGGGGTAGTGGTCGGTAGACAATCGCAGACGCTGGGAGGGGGCTGCTGCGGGAGACTTGATCGAAGTGTGAGACAGAAGGTAGAAAGCTTGGGAAATGTCAAGAACACCGGAGAATACTGAAGTGCAAGTCAGCAAATAGTTGTTGCCTTCTTGTTGCAGGCAAATATCAGGCGACGTCACGCGTCGAGTTTGGAGATTCCAAATGCTCCACCGATTCCACTCTTCTTTCACCACCGACATCAGTCGCAAACTGCAGCACCACCTTCTTTGCGCAGTAAAGGGATGGCGATGTCAGCTCCAGCCTAGAAAGTTTTCAATACTACCGCCTAGAGTTGCGCTCACATCGTCTGCCGGCCCTCCAGAATGTCCTCATCCAAACACCCTCTCGCTGAAGCCGGCCTAGATGCCCCACCGTCGAAAAAGCCGCGATTCAGCGTGCGCAACCCATCAGCACTTGTAGCCGACGATGCCACTGAAGACAATGCCGAGCTAGACGCCGACGTGATTGGTACAAACAGACCACATCATCGGCGTGGCGCCGTGAACATTGATGGTTTCGATTCGGATAGTGATGGAGGGGACAACTTCGACGAGCGCGCTGCAGTGAAGGCGCGGGCAGAGAAGAAAGCGCAACGCAGCAAATATGAGGAGCAGGCGGATATGTTTGCAGACCTGGAGGAGGATTTTGGAGACGGGGCCGTCGAAGAAGATGAGGGTGGAAAGCGAAAAAAGGATGTCCGGTTTCTAAACGATGACCAGATCGAGGGACAAGTCAAGAATTCACGAGCTGGAGGGCACGTTAGTGATAGACTGAAGCTCACCGAGCAGGAGGCCAGATACATGGAGAAGCATGGCAGGTTACCTGCCTCGGCTGGGCTCGAGGAAGCGGGCGATTCGTCAAGCGATAGCGAGGTGGACGATGAGACGCGCGCGGCACTCGACGAAGAGATCGATGAAGAGCTCGGAGCCGGCGCTAAGACACGACATGCCCCCAAGCTTGATGCGTTCAACATGCGCAACGAGCAGGACGAAGGCCAATTCGATGAGAGTGGCAACTTTGTCCGGAAAGCTACAGATCCAGACGCCGTCCACGACCGATGGCTGGAAGGCACATCCAAGAAGGACATGAAAAAGGCCAAGGAAGCCATGGAGAAGCGTGAGCAGGATCGGCGGGCAAGGGACCTGGCAGATGATTCTCGGAGTACAGCTGATGCATTGAAAGATTTGATCGCACAGATGGAAGTGGGCGAGACTGTCCTAGAAGCTCTTGCAAGACTTGGGAAAGGGAAAGAGAAGAAGAAAGCGAAATGGCAGACGAAGTCCAAGGCAAAGAAGCCGGAACAGAATGGCCATGCAAAAGCTTCCGAGGATGATCTCGCCGATGTGAAGCGGCGTGAGAACGTTGAAGCGATCACATCGGCTGCCGATCTTCTTCTGACTAGAGGCAAGACCGACATCTACGACACGGAGCGAGAACTACTCATTCGTCAATGGTCACGCGAGAGTGGCGAGCAGTGGGCTGAACCGTCAAAGGAGAAGCAAGACAACGGAGTGAAGACATGGCAATACCGCTGGACGGATGCCAGGGACGGTGGTCATATAAATGGACCATATGATAGTCTAACCATGCACCAATGGAATGAAGCCGGATACTTTGGCGAAGGGGTCGAATTTCGACCAGTGGGCGATGATACTTGGAGCCGTGTTGCCGACTTCTCATAACCAATACAAGTCCATCTGAGTCCTGAACAATACTTCTTCCTGAATGCTAGTACCAGTCTCTTTCTCAAGTTAGCTTCCAAGACGCCAAAATTGGTGGCTCTCTAAGCATGGAACGTATACTTGTCCTGCTTCCTCCGTCGACCATGCTTATCAGCCTGTTCCTGGTAGTGGAAGGTCATGACACGCCAGTTGAGCTCTCTTCGCCAGAACAAGCCATAGCCCAAGCTGTCTTTACGATCTCGCGCCGTCAAGGCGCCACTGCCTGGCATCCTCTTCTCGAATATGCAAGCGCGGAACCGGGAATGGATCATCGCCATGGAGCAGCAGACGCAAGGTTCGTGTGTGAGATATAGATCCAGACCACTGCAGAGGTAGCCATCGGACTTGGAACCGGTGGTGGAGACTGAAGCGATGGAGGTGCCTGACATTGTCCGCGTCATGGGGGCTGCACCGTTTGACGTCGCCGACAGTGTTCTTAGAAGGGGGCTGGCGGCAGCAGCGGGTGTGATGGCTGCACTACTGCTGCTTCCTTCCAGCGTCATGCTGCGGTTCATCATACCTGCGAGACTCTCGGAGGGGTCCTTCGGCGAGGTAGGAGTGGACAGACCGGAGACGGGACTGGCAAATTCTTCAGAGTAAGCGTTCTCAATGTCAGTCAATGGTTGTCCAGCCGGCGTTTCAGTACAGGTGGTGGCGAACTTCCGATGGCCGCCGGTGCGAAGTCTCCGGCGAAGCTCTTTGTTGGCAACCATGGCAACCACGCGCATAAGTGCGTGATGCTCAACACGGCCCTGACCACCAATGTTGACACAGTGGTGGGCAGTCTTCTCATCACTCCAGTGCCTGGCGTCGCCGGCGACAGCCATGATCTGCCCAGTCTTTGGATTGACAACGACAGCCCCTATGCCCCAACCCAGTCCACTTTGCTCTGCCTCTTGTCCAGCCATACGGGCGATCTGCATGAAGTGTGCCGTAGCTGAGGTGTCGAGCTCGGCCTGTACGCGTCGAAGCTGATTGAGAGGAGGAGCATCTTGCAGCAGCTGTGCGGCTGGGTTGTACTGAGTTGGCCAGTATCGCTCAGTCCACATGGTAGCCTGCTCGCCGCTCATAGGTGCGTAGCGTGGAACTACTGCATTGAAGCAGCGAGGCAGGCCCTCGACCTCAATATGAGTAGCGAAGACCTCACAGATCTTGTACCATGGCAGAAGGTGCGAACTGGGGACGAGCAGAAAGACAGTGTTAAGGCCATTGCTGTCGTAGTCTCGTCTCCAAGCCAGATCGGTTGGAAGATGGGTCAGCGTGCAAACACGACGGAGGTGAGCGAAGGATAAGCTGCGGTCATTGGGCAGTATGGGTTTCACAATGCTAGAGGATTGTCAGTGAGAGTCCAGAAGCGGAGCAATCCTGACCTACCTCAATGCCTTGCTAGCCAGCGTTGCCGGGATCTCAACGACGAAGGCCTCGACTATGCCCATGTTAGTCTCAGGGCACACATGGATGTTTGGACCTCATACCGAATTCATCTGTCGATCTTGTTTCGTGGAGAGTCTTCAGAGGCTCGAGTAAGATACTTTCCTCGGGCATCATGAACCCCTGTTGACCCATGAATGGGTGGTATGTGCATTGTCTGGGGAGGATGATGACGTGGCGAAGTGGACATCAGATAGAAATTGAGGGTGGCATATAAGTGACAGATCTAACAGGAAACAGCATGCACGTCCCGCGGAAGGCACGATTGCCACTGGCGCTGGATACTGTGCGTCCCGCGACGATGAGGCTTTCTTGGCATGAAACCTCCTATTCGATTGTGCTCGAGCGAGCACTGGCTAGTACCAAATCAAGTCTGTAGTTGTCAGGTTCTGTCAATCAGGCACACGCGAACCTATCCGAATAGAACGTAAAGAGAGCAGGCAAGTGGATGAAATTTGAGATCTGCAATGTCTTGGCAGTACAATTGCAGCCTTGCAAAGTGGTGGTTACAGCCTCGCCAATCCGCGCCAAATATATCAGTTCCGAGCAGACCATTGCTCGCCGTGCTTCTGTACGGGCAGCCATCCAGTTCTGCTAGCCGAGTCTTTCGTTGCCTCGTATACATCTCTCTGGACTTGCGGCTCGAAAGACCCGGGATCTGCTACAGCATCCTGACTCGTAGAGCGAACATGGCGCACGATCGGGAATTCTGAAGAGCATCTTGTTGGTGGGGTTTTTGCGAAGTCTTGGGCCCGAAGCGTGGAGAGTCATCTGGACGCTTGATGCGTCGGAGGCTTTGCAGCGAGGCGATTGCGCCAAAGGTGCCATAAACCAGTTGAGCTCGAGCAGGTTATGTGCAACGTCAATATCTTCGACATCTTTCTCAACTGAGAGTCCTCAAGCAGTGTCCATGGCATCGCCATTGATGGTGTTGGCGCCATTGACCACAAACGTGACTTGACCATCATCGCCAATGAACTGCCTCTCGTGCTCATTGACAAGCTTGACAGACCGAACTGGATCGTAAAAGAGTCGGAAACTCCGCTGTACGTCATCAACGTTGACCTCTTTGGCCTTGCGTTTCTGGCTGAGAAGCGTTGATGTAGTGATGATGTTGCTAGAGTAACGAAGCCCAGATTCTTGACCAATCTTTGTGAGGAGTGCGAGGGCATCGGGGGACAGGTCAACCTCCTCTTCTTGCGCGCGGATGGCGATAATTTGGGAGATCTCCTCCCGAGAATATGGCTGGGTGCTGATGATGACAACTCTGTCAAGGAAGTCCAGGGGCAGGCCATGAGGTGACTTGTAGGTGGTGCCACGGATCTGGCTGTTGCCTCTGTTGCTGGCCATAATGACGATGGGTGCAAGGTCAGCCTCTAGCGCACGGTTGATGTACGAGAAGCATTCGATGTCGAGCATGTGCACCTCATCGATGAAGAGCACGCCCGGAATAATTTCAGCCTTGCCCTCCTCTTTCCATTCGCCGACCTTGGTGTTGATCTGATCGCGCACTTCACTTCGAATCTCACCAGTGTCTCCGGAGAAAAGTGCAAGAAAGCCTTGAGTTCGCGAATTGATAACATCGATCTCGTGCAGGCTGACCGTATGTGTGACTTCTTTTCTGACCTGAAGCTCTCCATCTGGGCACTGGACAAACTTGGTGTCTGCCCCCATGGCATCGTAGTCGCGCGATCTTGTGTATGAGCGACCGAGCTTGGTGATTTTGCCCGAGGATTTGTCGATGGAGATGACATCTCCAGCTATGACCTTCTCCTTGGTCATCGAATCGATCATCTTGGTGCCCATGTCGTAGACCGTCTCCATGTCGGTGGTCTTGATGGTGAGCTTTCCCTGCTTGTTGCCACCCGACACGGTGCGATCAATCTGAATCTCAACAACCTCACCCTCGATGATCTCACTCTCCTCCTTAATCTTGACGCCAATCGATTTCCGGAAAGCTTGGGTCAGCGCCTCGGTCTTGGACATTTCGAGCGAAAAGATCTCGGAGGACGCAAGCATGGTGAATGGCACGTCGGGCCCAAGGGATTGCGCCATCCCCATCGCGATGGCCGTCTTTCCGGTGCTGGGAGGTCCAGCGACAAGGACTGCTCTTCCCGCGATTTTACCATCCTTGACCATCTGCAGAATAACTGCTGCAGCTTTGCGCGCCTTCTCTTGCCCAATGAGTCCTTGTGACGACGACTTCGGCTCAAGTGTAGCGAGATCGACTCCCAGACCACGAATGTGGGAGTGCGCGGCGATGAGGTTGAGACCTCTCACCTCGGATGAGGAAACTGTGGTTATGGGCTGGTCGGATTAGCATTGCTCGCGGGCGGGACTGGGACACATACTGCGGCCATCGTGCACAGGTGATGCTCGCAGCTTTTGTGTTGAAGCCGCAATCAGATATTTATCGCCAGATCAAAGTAGGGGTACGATTTCGGAACAGAGGTGGCCGTTTGCAGGTTGTGGCATCCGTTTTTGGCTGTCAATTAATTTAGGCAATTCCGGCGCGAATTGGGGCGACGCGCTTGCCAAGGCTCCCCCGCGATTGCTAACGGCAACGTCGAGCAACTTCGCCACTGCTTCACTCAAACACTGGTGCAGAGGGCACGCCCCAAGTCTCTCTGCTGATCGTAGCGGCAGGAATAGGCACAATCACTTCATCCCTCGCCGCTGCAGATCTTGAGACACCCACTGTCAGTCACGCAATTACCCCCACCGCCTGATTCCTTCACACGACGGTCGCTTAGGCTGGCGCAAGGAAAGATCACTGCGGCAACACAGGCTGCTTAATGTCACCCCCTGTTGTCCCGGTCGCACTTTCTACTTTTGGCCTGCTGAAGCACCACCTTCCCTGACAAGCGTCTACGGCTCTATAAATCCGTATCAAGTCAGATAATGTTCTTGCATACGGATGGGCGACAGAGAATTTCCAAGATTGAACCACTGGCCACGCTTTAGGGCATACGATCCACCTCGTCGTCCAAGCGGCCCTTGTCACAGCACAGGCCGACGGCCTAGCCCGGACACTTTCGATCGAGCCAATGTCAATCAATCTGTGGCCAAAGACCGTGGTGACCACCGGACAAGAGAAGGAAACTCAGACCGGCGCAATCGCTCTGCGTCCCCCCTGCGTCGCCCGCAGCCAACGGTTCGGCGAATGACGCCTTTCGCGCCAGGCTCTGAGAGTATGACTGCGCCATCTCGATCGAATCCTCTTCCTAACGTTTCTTCGCAAGCTCTGACAGCCCAGGCTTCAGCTATCAAGCAGCATCTTGCCAACCCACAGAGCATTCCAACACCTGACACCAGTCCGTCTGAGCTGGATACCATGCATGAAGCACGTACACAACACAAGGTTCCAGCGAAAGCTACAGACCCAAGACGTCATCCAAAACGAGATGGACCAAGCCATGCGCAGTCACCGGCCGAGCCCCCTCAATCTCCCCATGTCCCAGTTCTGCATATCTCGTCGAGCAACAGAATGCTTGATCAGCCCGTCCCCGAGAATCGAGACGCTCCTTTTACGTCAGCAGGCGCGGCGCCTATGTCGAACGATGCTGGGATGACCGATGGTGGTTCTGCGAGACCCGATCCTGTCAAGTTTAAGCAGCTCTCACAGGCCTTGTCACTATGGGGAGACCGAGCCACGGTAGCAGGAATTCAAGCCTTCTATTCTCAGAAGCTCAAGACGAAATGGGAGGAAGAGGCAAGACACAAAGCTCGTGCGGATGCAAACTATGCTGGACACCCAAAAGCTACTCAACAAGCTCTCCGGTTGGAGGAGTCTGCCCGCAAAGATTTTGAGGAATCGAAGCAGAAAGCTACCGAGTTGAAACTGGCGGCTGACGGATCAGCTAGCGTTTTTGCTCTCCAGTTTTCGACCTTCGTGTCCCAATCGATCAAAGACGTCAGCGCCTCTGGTGGCGCGGCTGACCTCGAGTCACTTCGCTCACAGCTTTACGAACTGAAAGCTCATTTTGATCGAATTGAGCAGGGTGGCAGTAACCGCAACCGAGAAGAGCTTCAGCAGGTCTCCAGTGATATTCGCGTCCTACAAGACCGGTCCAATGCTCAGGAAGCACGATTCGGGACAATCGAATCTGACGTCAGGCACTTGAAGTCATCATTAACTGCACAGATAAAGACCGAACTCAACAATGCTTTGCAGCATCTTCAGTCCAAGAGCAAGCCTGTCTTGCAGGACTGTGAAGCCATCAAACACCAAGTTGATACAGCCATGGGCAATTACACCGCAAGCGAATTCAATCGCCGAAATGAGTTGGAGACACTTCGAAAGGATCTCAATCAAGCCCTCGCCGAGAACGCTGACCTAAAGCAACAGATGGTCGCCATCAGGGATCAGTCCGTCTCGAGAGACGAGTTCGACTCCCTGAAACGAGAGATGAGTCAGCTGGCTACGGCCAACAAAGAACGAGTCCTTACACCCGCACCAACTCCATCGCTCGACCACAAACCAGCAATAGGAATGCTGAACCCTTACATCCAACGCTACAATGAAGAGATGCAGAAGTTTGGTGCAGAAGTCACCAAAACCACTACCAGTGTTGCGTACCTCGAGAAAAGCCACGAGAGTCTTGTGCCCTTGGTTCATGGACAGAAAGCTGCTACTGACATGGCGAACTCAAGAATAGATTTGCTTCTGCAGCATCTGGGATCTTTGCAGGATCAGGTAAAGAACATCGCAAACCGGAGTACAATCTCGCAGAGCTCACCGTCTCATTCACCAAGTCTGGCGCCCGACAACATACAGCTGCAGAAACTTCGCCAAGATACCACTATCCGCTTGGAGGAGTTCAAGAAGGAAATTCAGTTTCTCACTCAGACTAATCGCGTCCTCAGTGCACGCTACAACCAGCTTACCTCCGAGAGAATGGCGGAGGCCGTTGCCGGCATCTTGGGACCGATTCCTGCAACACTTCAGGTCGAGAATCAGCAGATGAAGGACGCCATCGGACACCTCCAGGTTACAGTACAGCAACATAATCACCTGCCAGGCACCTTGAAGAAAACCTCGGACCGCGTTGCCGTACTTGAGGCCGACATTCGGAGGATGGAATCCAACAAGCATGCTGGTACAGAGCAAGACCGACGCCTCGACGCAGTCGAAAAGAGCTTGGAGGCTCAAGTCCAATCCGTCGAGCAACCTCTCGCACGATTACAGGGCAAGATCTCTGCGATTGAATCTACACTGGGAGAGAGGCTCGATACGGTTGAGAGCCGCGTTACGACCCAGGAGAACAAGACTGCGGACAACCTTGCAGCGTTGGTCATTGAGCAAACAGCAAATAGCACAGTCTCAGCCGAGCTCTTCGGTGATTTCCAGAAGGAATACAACTCAAAGATGACTGCAGCAGAGAACCGCCTCGACAAGCTGGAACAGAATGTCACGGATCAGAACGAACGCCAAAATTGTTTATCACTCAAGATTCATCAACACGCCCACGACGAAATCGAGAGCGCCAAAGTTAGTATCAAGGGGCATTCTGAAAGCCTAGCCGATATCGAAAAGGTCTGCGGCATTCTAAACGACGCCTTGAAAAAGGGACTGCAGGATCTCCAAGCGAAACACGACGCGCTGAAGTCGACTGCTGCCGAGCAATCTCAGTTTGAGGAGCTGAAGGCAATTATTGATGAAGTCAAGAACGCGCAGGAGCAGTCCTCAGATGATCTGCCTTACATCTCAAATAGTGATTGTGACGACATGCGCAAGGCTATTGACGCCTTGGAGAACAGACTTCAGGATGAGAAGCGAGCCATCAACCAGCGCATTGAAACTCTTGACGGAAGTGTAGAGGGCCTGAAATCCACTGCGGCGCAGGCGGAACGCCAGACCAGTGCAAGTATCCTCGAGCGATTGACTAATGCCGAGAAGTCCATTCAAGAGGTTCAAGATAAGGTCAGAGCCCACGCGGACACGCTTGAGGCCATGGATGAGGCCATGCTCAACAAATTTCGAGTCACACCGGTCACCGCAACGAGTACTCCGCCCTCTGATATCAAGCCTCCGACTGGTCCTCGGTCCATGTCGTTGACGCCTAGATCAATGAACCGGAATGCTAAGAAATTGCCCAAAGCTGGCGAACGCAGCACCTCAGGGTTGGGCAAACACCGTGCCACTTCTCCCGCCAATGAGAGGCCCCGCAGCAGGAAGAAGCCACGAGGGCCGAACGGGGAAGGTGACGGTCCAACACTCGTGGACTTGACCCAAGATGACGATGGTAATGGTGAGACCGCCAGCCAAAACCAAGAACCGAAGCTAGGCAACCACTCGGTGACTCGTGGCAGCAGATGAGGTCTATGAAGGATGGGTGACATCGATGCTTGCCCAACGGCAACATCTATGCACCAAAAGTATCATTTTACTGACGCGATTGAGCATGCGAGGCGTTTTTCTCTTTCGGAATGCGTGGGCTGCACAAGATGGATTTAATGATACCCCAACCGCATTTGTTTTCTGAGATGGACACAACTGATACTGACGATTACGATACTTGCTTTTCGGCCTTTCCTCTTTCTTGGCCTTCTGCACATTCTTGGGATAGGGCGGTCTGGGTGGCTGGTGAGGGCTGGGCTTGCAGAACAACATGTCGAGAACCCGGCGCTTGGTGCAAATGCCATGGCACAGAACGAGCACCGAGAGTATGAAATCTCGCTTGGTCGATCGATAGCTTTTCGCTCGGATGGCATAGTTAGAACTGCATTTGCTTAGTCGCGGTATGAATAGAGAGCCATTTGCTCCAAGAATCGACTTCTGAGCGAATCGACAAGCGCTTGTTCTGCTACAATGACATTAGCAATCACTAAGCCAAGACGCGTCTCAGTACACCATCATAGTCCAAGCTCATTCTTGCACACACGGCCACCGAAAAGTCCTCCCAGGCATCATCGATCCCATTACCGCACGTCCGATGGGACAGTGTCTCATCTACGACTTAGACCGTCCGTCCCCTCTCACTCAATACGAGCCGCCCATCCACTCCTCATCCCGCTGCCTGGCCCTGTGCTCACGCTGGCGCATCTCGGCACGCTCGGCCTCGTCCGCCAACGTGCTGCCGCCCAAGCTACTACGACTGGTATTGACGCTGGTGCTGGTGCTGGCGTTGCGAAGGCGCAGCACGTCGCCAATGCAGACGTCCTCGCCCTTGGCGAGCCTCTTCTGCAGCTCACGGCGGCGGTTGGCTTTGAGCTTGCAGTGTGCGACGTAGGTGGTCTGCTTGCGCTCCTTGTGGCAGAGGCCGTGCGTCCAGAAGGGGGTGCCGACGGCGGAATTGCCGTAGAGGTCGACGATGAGGATGATGATGACGAGGCAGGAGGTTATGGTGACGAGGTCGAGACTGGAGGGTGGTTGGTGGTGGTTAGTGTTTGTGTTTGTGCTTCCAGGGGCGTGGGATCCAAGGGGGGGGGGGGGGAATTGGGGAAAGAGAGAAAAGCGTACCTGGACAGCCTGTCACCGGCAGTGGGCAGCACGATGATGATCACGGCGATGACGCAACGGAACGCCAATCTCGGACGCTTCTTCAGTCGGCCGCCCTTCAGCTTCTTATGCGTGTGGCACAGGCTGATGACGGCCATGAAAATCAGTGCCAGTCCAATGCCGCCGCAGTAGAACCACCGCGTGGCTGAGTCCAGCTCGCTCACCGACCGTTCAGCATAGTGCGAGCCAAGCCAACTCTCTTCAGCATCACGCGAATCGTGGGCAAGGACCAGAGATGTGAGTGTTGATGCGGCGAGGATGTACGACATGATGAAAGGCAGCTGCGCAGTCACCCACAGCGTGGCACTGAACCAGTGTCGGCGGATGGCGTGCACGTGTACTGCATAGGCATCGATCTCGAAGTAGATCCAATTGAAGCAGAAGGCCTGCAAGAGACCGAGCACACCCTTGCCGAAGAAGGCGTTGATGCCCATTTCTGCCGAGGATTGGTAAAGAATGGTCAGGATGCTGTAGCCAAAGACCAGGGCGACGAAGGCGTTGTTGCGCTCGACGCGGTGTTCGATGTTGATAGCAGGGGCGAATTGGAAGTACTGTTTGAGATTTTAGCTGATTGAAGGAGCAAGACGAGAAAAGGAGCAAACCTTTGTAAGATGTCTACACATGCTCTTGTCTTCTTTAGACTTGCGCGTGATCCAGATGATTATACTGCCACCGAATAGGTCGACAAAGATAGCCAAAAATATGGGCGCAAGCTGGTTGGGCCAGGGGACGTGAATAGATACAATCCATAGTGCCGAAGCCACGACGATGATTACGCTACCGCAGAACATGGAACCTTTAATCATTGGCACAAGAAAGCCGACCCAAATGTACCACAGGGCGACGAAGAAGCGTTGGGCAATGAAGAAGCCGATGGCCATGGTATACGTTGTGTAGTGGTGCTCGCCATCCCCGGCACCCTCGGCTTCGGCGCGTGCCTCGATACTGCCGGATTCGGGAGAGCCTTCGGGAAACATGTAGTAGATATTAGTGGTGAAGCCGAATAAGCAGACGCTGTAAGATGTCAGTATTACTTCACGTTCCCGTGCCGCACATGCAACTTCACTGGCCCTACGCCCATGTGGCACACATTCAGCGCACCGGGTCGAAATGAATCACTCACAGGTAGAATGCAACACAGATCCGTTGAAATATGTCCTCAATATCGAACCAGTTGATGATTTGAGTCATATCGCTCCAGATCTTCCAGCCGATGCAGAAGCTGATGATAAATTGCAACAAGCTCAAGCCTGAAGGGTGCTCTGCCGCTCGTTCGCCGATGATGTCGATAACACCAACGTAGACCAGATCAATAAACAGCTCGAAGGACGCCACCTCACCGGGCTTACTCGATCGCCACAAAAGCCCCTTGTGGAAGTACTGTCTGACTTGAGGCCGTCGGAAGAACTTGAGTGGATTGGTGATACGGTCGCGGTGCTTCTCTTCGGCATTACTGTTGATGCTAGCAGCGTCCGAGTCGGTGGTGCGGAGGTGGGCCGAATAGCCGAACTTGTCAAAAGATGCATCGAGCGCAACCGAATGGTCGGTAAGGATATGGAGCTCGGAGTTGAGAATGTCAAGTTCATCACGCACGTTTTCGAATTGTCGGTAGACGGCTGAATGGTCCTGGTAGAGCTGGTTTCGCTCGGCTTCTCGTTGGGCGTGCAAGCCGCGTATCGCATCTATATGGTCGCCGGAGCCGTGAAGCAGGACGTCGAATTCGTCTCGAGACTTCTCACGCTCGAGTTCGGAGACTTTACGTTCTGGTCCGTGTCAGACGCTCGCCCGAACCGCTACAAAGATTGCGAACCTAGCTCGTCGGGCGTGTGGGCGACATGTACGTGCCTGCCGGTATGGGGATGAATGAAAGACATCATGCGCTTCCCACGAAGATGGTGGGGAAGATGAATGTGTGGGTGGTGATGATGGTGATGCTCATTTTGCTCCTCGTCCGAGAGCTGCTCGCCTGATTTCTCGTTGGGCGCATCTGCGGGCGGTGTTGGTAGTACGGGGGTGTCCTCGACTACCTCATCACCCTTGGGTTCTATCGCAGGTAAACTGGACGCCATTTGGCGCATGATTGCCTAGATACCGACTCGGAGTGAATGTGCAAAGAAAGGAGGGCAGACGCGACACGCACGAGCGCGGGTGAGGTGCGAGCAGTGCAATAGCCCCAACATGGAGGGGGCCAAGGTTCCAGGCCAAGGTTCCAGGCCAAGCGGCCGAAGCTGACTCATGCTGCGGAACTAGTCCCTAAACAGCTAATGCCTGCCGCTACTCTTAGGTAACCAAAGCTTGTTTCAACACGTTTCGCTTATCAATTTTTGCCTTGTGTCCAGGCCAATGAGGCAAACAGCGCCCTGATATGTACTTGCTAACCTGGAGTGAGGCAAGTCTTAAGTGCCAGAGTCTCCGAGATGTCAGATCCAGTAGCAGAGCCAGCCGAATGACTTTCTGACGCGAGCTGGTGCACGACGGCTCCAACTGAGATCGTCGCACATAGGTATGCCTTGCTCCAGAATGCTGTGGCATTCATCCTTTTCGGTAGGTACAGCTGCCCTTCCAAAATGTTCTTGGACACAATACGCCCATGTCTACACCTTCCTTTTGCGTCTTGACCGTTCGTTGACTGCTGCTGTTCCCCATCATTGTGTGGCTATCAATGATTCTCGCGGCGACTCATCTCTCTCCTGATCCAGCTGACTTGTTTCTCAGTGTAATCGATCTTCTTCTGATAGCAAGCTGTATCCTCCGGTGATCTTTTGGACGTCTCGGTCCATATCTCGATGGCATCCTGCCGCACCCGTACCATCTTGACAAGAGTTGCAAGGGAGAAAAACTCGAATACAACGGCAATGGGCCGAAACCCGTATTCATCTTCCCATCTGGGCTGCCTAGAAGGTTTGGCCACGTCCGCTGGAGAGAGTTGGAGACAATTTATTATCGGAACAGCTTCCATTGCGCCATAGACATCGCGATAGTAGTGGTGCTCGCGCTCCAGCGCAAATTTTGCCATTTTAAGCTCTTGTTGGAGGACTAGTCTGCGGTCGTCGCACTTGGATTTCGTGTTACTCGCAAGTTCGAACTGCGACAGATCTGTTTGTGCTTTTCGAACTCGAGACTCAGCCCATGATTCAAGCGTACCGGCAGCGATGTCATCAACTATTTGTTGCCATTTTACAATTTCTCTTCGAATGGGCGTTCTTCCCTGATAACGAAAAGCGGCTTGAGCTGACTCCAAGGCCGCCGTCTCTGAAGTTTCAACACAGCAGGCAATCTTGCCGTTGGGGAGCATTTCTGCGTTTGAAAGCGCCGCTTGGAGTTTCGAGTCCGCATCCAAACTTTCATCACGGAGACTCTGGTTTTGGCCAGCACTGTGCGCACCTGCGGAACGACCAGTAGAAGAGAAGTAGCCGGGGGAGTCCGCCTCACCCTTACACATGTTGTGCGGAGGATCTGATCCGGAATTATGCTTATCATCACAATCCCTATCCGAGCGAGTCACGCTGTCATCGGCAGGTTCGTCTTCAGGTGAATCACGTTCGGGGGTTCCCTGCTCCGAAGACGAAGCACTCGCGGTCCCCTCACCGTGCAGAAGAACTGAACCTTCCGCTAGTCGATGTGTGAGATGATTGACCTCAGGAATTACTATCTGTCTGGCGACAGAAGGTTGAGGAGCAGTATTCACATACTGGTCAAACGTTGAAAGTCTCCTCGTCATTTCAAAAGGACCGTTGTCGGGTCGAAGGTATGGATCAACGACCTCCATAGCATCAACGACGTCCTTGGTGGATGCAGACTTTGTCTCAGGCGGTGCAGAGTAGTCCAAGCTCGTCTGGTTCGCATGAACATCGATACTGTGCTCGTTGCGATAGTGTACGTTTAGGTTCCCGTACATCTTGAAAGTCTTACCGCACACATGGCACTGGTGTGCACGATACGGCACATGTATCAGGACATGTTCATACTGTCTTGAGAGGGTTGCGAAGACTTTGTTGCAACCGTCCCACTCACAAGCTCTGCCGTAATGCGCGGTTCCGATGTGTTGGTAGAGCTCTTTCAGAGTCTTGAAATCATCCTGACTGCGGCGACAAGCTCTCCACTTGCACAAAAGAGGTTCCTCCTCGGGCAAACCAACGCAGCTGTCTGAAGATCCATTGCTTTGATTTGAATCGCCCTGGACGCCTCCTTGGCATTGGGGTTTGTGAATGTTCAGCCAGCCGTTACTGCGAGTTTGTCGTACATCCGAGCATTCGTCACGTGGCTCCAGCATATTATGGCTCTTCTTTCCGCTGGCATGTGAGCCCTTGTAGGCAGAGGTCACCTGCTCAGTGTGTGGGCGCTTGTCATGCCTCCGTCCCGGATCGTTGCTAGCCTCTATGGGCGGACCGGGCTTGCCACGGTCTGCAGGAGTCGCATGCTCGGTCGACTGTGGTGTGGAGGAAGAGGGATGGTCAAGGTCAACTCGGAATTCAGTGCTTGAAGCGTGCCGCCTCGAGTTTAGGCCTACGCCAGTTGTAGCAACTGAACATCGGTTTCCAGTCTCTTCCGTCGACCGTAGCTTTTTGTTGCCACTGCGAAACGTAGCCGTTGTTGCATCGTCTCCGTCGTTCTCATCGAGCTCGGCATGCTCTTGCTTGCGCTTACGATCAATCATCCGTCGTCCTCCTAGAGGAGTTTTCATGAAGCATGGTGACAAAGATATCATCCTCTGCCCATGAGCTGGGGCCTCGATGTGCTCTGCATTGTCGTTGCCACTATCAGCCCTCACCATACAGTTGATAAATGGTGGTTGATCAACCTCGTTGGGAAGTGCGCTGGCGACGCCGTCTTCCATACCCTCAACTTGCCAGGAGATGTCCGATTCTCCTTCATAAGAAACCAGCCCTGGTGCGCAATTTCGGCGAGCGGGCTGGAGAGGCAGGCCTATTCCCTCCAAATCACCAGCCGGCTCTATGCCGATGAAGTCACGGAGCGCTTGGTCTCTATTAGCCTGGACTTCATAGCCACAGCGAGATGGCACTCGTTGTTGAAGGCCACGCAACAGCATCTCTTCCCGACGAAGGGCTGTCATAGCATTGTGCAGAAGATCGAGTGGCTGTGATCCTGAGAAGTCCTCGTCATGAGAACGTACACGAAACATATTAGATTTGTAGGCATACACAACGCCTCTGTCCATATGGTCGAAATCAACTTCATCTCGTACGAACAATTCGTTACCATACGCATCTCGAATGTATTTACCCGATTCGGCTTTCGCCATGGCAGCCTCCAGCTGCGATCGGGTGCTGCGTTTTCGCCGATCGCCAGTAGCAAGTTGCTGTTCTTTTGTTATGTGAGTCGCCTCGGGCACAGCGTCACTCATCTCTCCTCTGACTTTCGGGAGGTTTTGAGACCGCTTCACAGGCGTCACAGGCTCAAGGCGAGAGCGGGGCCGCTCAGGCATACGCTGTGAAGCAGCTTTGTTGCGCCTTGGCATTTTGCTTGTCGCAGACCTGCTTATCAGATTGGAATTGTCCCCAGGCTCTGCACTTTCGTTAGTATCCGAATCGTTTACAGGAAGGAAAGCTGGGCGACATTCTCGAGTAGATAGAACACCGCCACGTGAAACTTACTTGAGATTTGTGGGGACCTCTTTGATCTTGACGCAAGAACAACTTCTCTTTCCTCAGGATCAGCAGCACCGACCCTTGACTCGGTTGAGACTCCAGCTCCCATGTTGGAGGGTTGTTGGGCAGACACAATACCGTCCGACTCGCGGATTGCGTGTGAAGGATATGAGGTCGACCGAGGAGGGTCGAAAATGGTTTGTGCTGACGGGAACGATGCCGCAGGTGGGTATGAGTCCCTGTCATCGAAACGTGCTGGGACTCGGACTTGCACGCGTGGGCGGCGCCATTGCGAAAGGCGAGTGGTAGGACTTCGAGGCACGGTTGCTTCGGCAGCTGTGCGTTTGCCTCGCCGATCACCACTAGCGCCACTGGGCGATTGCTCTCGGTTAAGCTGCTTCTTCTTTGCTGATTTGTGGCTGAGTCGAATCGATCTGCGGATAGCCTGCATGCCAGACTCAGAGTCGTCGCTGTCAGCATCCTCTTCGCCGTCCTGATAGACCGAATATGTCCGCTCATCTTCACTCGATGACGAGTCAAGTTCATCTTCGCTTGAGTCTCGAGATTCTGTCTCGGAAATGTCGGATACATCGCGCCCGGTGCTCTCGATCGAGGACAGCGGAACGTCTTGCAGCTCGGTCGCTTGATCTGCAGAAATGTTGCTGTCCCGATCCTCATCCTTGTCACTGTCTCCTCCTTCGGCATTGCTATCTTCATTCTCGTCACCGTGTCCTTCTTCGCCATCTTCATCAGCGACTGCGTCGTTATCTGGTTTCTCGCCATCTGCATCTTGGTCCTCTTGCTTGAGCTGATCCAGGGTTTCGGGTATATCCTGAATGCAAAAAGCAGGATTGGAAGACCGCTCGTTTCTGGCAGCGTCTGAGAGCCGTAGACTCAAGCGCAGGAGATGGATGGGAGGCTCGAGAGATTTTTCCGTTTTCAGAATCTTTCTGAACTTGTTTTGCATGCGCTTCAAAGAAAATCGCGGTCTAAAGCCGTAATGCAGTGTTTGGGCAAGCCAGTATCTGTAGCCCAGATCATTGGCCTCTTGCTCTTCTTCAGTAGCCTTGAGGGCTTGGCGAATTTGCTGTTCTGTCGCTCGCTCATAACCCTCGTAGGTTGCGCCGCCTGTGGTCGGGATAAGTACAAGAAAACCCTCGTCTTCATCCCATTCGAAATTCTGATCCTCTTGTAGCTTGAGCAGCATATCCTCGGTAACCTCCTCGACCTGGAAAAGTTGCCTCACTGCCTCCGTGCTGCGTGAAATTGATCCTCTCGTCGCCATGATGGATGGCAGGCTCCGTATAGCGATCTTTGTCTCTACATACTCGATCGGTGCTGTCGGAGGTTGGGCGGAGTAGCCGCTTGAACGGCCAAAAATTAGAGATTGCCGAATGAGGAAGGCCAGTCAATCTGAAGCTCTGTCGCAGAAAGAGGTGTCAGTTTGGAGGTCGGAGGGAGTACCGACGCGACGACGACGGATGGATGACAGGATCGGAAGTAGTGATTTATTGAGTGCTGAATGACGAGCAGAAAAACGAATTTGCGGATGGGACGTGACTTCTGAAATCAAATAGAAGGTCAGAGAGGTGAGGTCAGGTGCTGCGAGTCCCTTCACACGCGCTCCGCGGTGCATGCAATCAGCCAACCTCCATGCAAGTTGAGTACTAACTCGCTCCTGGGCTGTGTTCCAAAGTAAAATGGATGCTTTGCTACCTTCCCATTTACAAAGCTGTTGGCCCGAGTGTCTGATCCCATCCCCTTATGTCCACCTCAGTCTGGTCCATACCTCAGCTTCCGGTGCGGCTTGCCTGGAGGCACGCCGAGGCAAAGCAGAAATTGTTCGTGAGACGTCCTGTCGGACGGTCTGTGTTGGCCTTAAGTCGAAGTACTGAAGGGTCATCTTCGTTAGCCTCGCATCCAGTCTCGACCGTAGAAGCCTCGAATAGGCTTGTGTGACAACGTGCTGCCATTGACACTATGGTTCTATTTTCATTTCCACCACCCTTGAATGCTGCTTTGCCCTGGCCTGAACTTGATACCATCCCTAGTGAGTTGCAGGTGCCAGTGCCGCCCTCAAATTCCTCGCCTTGCGGGCAACGGGCGGGATGAGCCTGATGATCGCGTTTGCCGCATCCTCCTCAGACAGTCTCATATAAAGCGCTTCTACCTTACTAATAATGCTGTCAACTAGCTGTGGAGCATGACTAGCTAGCTCAGCAATCTCGCGATCCTGCGCTGGGTTAGCAAGTACTCAAAGGCAGGGAAAAAAGGGCTTACATTGAAATCAACAGCATCGAGAGCTGCATTGATCCACTCCAGTCTTCTCTCAAGATTATTCTCCATACTCTTCGAGACAGTGACGGCAATGGAGAACGCCACGAGCGCCGAGACATCCGTGGAGAGATACTCTGGAGTAAAGCGGATGAACAAGTTATCAAACAGTTGAGCTTGGTATTCCGAGTTCAACCATTTGATGGACGCGTCCTCATATCGACCACTCTTCATCATGCTTGCAATGTCATCTTGCTCAAGCTCCCGTTGTGACTTGGGCTTCATGGCAAGGGGTCGAGCAATTGGTGCAGGAGAAGGTGTCATCTGTGCGGTCGACATCTGCTGCGACGCGCCGGGCGCTGCGTATTGCGCCAGCTGCTGGCGGTCTCGGAGTATCTGACTCTGGAAGTTGACTTGTGTGTCCGACATTGTTCTCAGCGTCTCAGCCATACCAGAGACAATGGCACCTAGCTTTTCGAGTCTCGCCGTGTCGCGACGCCGCTCCTCGTCCAATTTGCGGAACTGAGCGCTCATCCGTCCTTCGACTTCAGCGGCGGCTTGCTCCGCAGCAGTGACCAGCGAGCCGCTGACGTTGCGGCTGATGGCATCGGCAATATGGCCGTCTAACTGCTTGGTAAGCTTTTGAGAAACCGATTCTTGGACTGAACGGGCAAATTGTGTGCTGGTCAGAACAGTCTGGACGGCAGATGGGATGTGTTTGCCGAGCTCCGGGCCCATCAGTTGCTGCATCGTGCGAGCCACAGCATCACCAACATGTGTCTGGATAGCCTGCGAGGTGACGCTAGTAATAGCAGGCAAGACAACTTGCTGGATCTGAGCGCTGACAATATTCGCGATACTCTTCTCAACGTTATTGGTCAACGTTTGTGACACCAAGCGAAGTACCGCCTCCTGTCGAGCACTGGCGGTTGAGTCCTGCACGAGCCTGTCGTTCTGTATGTTCGTGTACAACGAGCCCATCTCTTTCTTGAACTCCTTCGATACAGCTTTCTCAAGCTTCTTCATCTCCTTGTCGAGCCAGTCTCCAGATATTCCTATCGACACTTGTTCGGGAACGGGTTCTTTGGCGGTAGTTTCAACTGACTGAACCGGAGCAGGGGCCGGCACAGGTTCTTCAGGAACTGTGGTCCCGGTAGCTTCGGGTCGAGCGGGAGATGCGGTACGCGACACATCCTTGGCTTGTGCAAGGTCCTGTGCTGCCTTTTTCTTGCTCTTCTTGGTTTCCTTGGGCAGAAGCAGATCTCCGTCGAGGGGCTCAGATGGTGCCGTGCTGCCGTTAGCCGCTTCAGCGACAGGTGGCTGGGGTGCGGGCTCCACAACCTCAGGTGCCACAGGCTGGACCTGCTCTGCAGCTTTTTGAGCTTTCTTGGATTTTTTCTTCGACTTGCCGCCGCTCGAAGATGGCTCCTCGGGTGGGCTTTGGATACGAGCCGCCTCTTCAATAACTCCGCCGAGCTTGAGCTCCTTCATCGTCACGATACCAGCCTTGACCGCGTCAACGCCATCAATAACTTTGCTACCGGCATCCCAGCCCAGATCCTCTTTAGTGATAGTCAAACATGTGACTCCCTTGGAGTGGACGGCGTAAAGCTCGAAAAGAGGGTCCGTGACCACTTTCTCGGCACTGCCACTCTTAGATTTGTGAAGCGGCAAGAGCTCGACGCTGCGGAGCTGACCCTTGGATGCGAAGGAGATCTCGCGGATGCCGCTCATGCACGCAGTCGAGTCAGGCTTGGGTACATCAGGATCCTTCGCAGCAATGAGCTGGACGTAACTGGCTTGGTCGATTGACGAGCTTAGAGTGTAGCGAGGCGCCGACAGGTGAATGAAGAAGATGGAGTTACGGGTCGGGTGACCAACCACGATGATACCACTGCCTGGATGGTAGTTGACACTGCAGACGCCGTCTGTCTCGTTCTCGTGAGGAAAGTTGACCTCTTGAACTGCCTTGCCCAGTGCAATATCCCAGAGCTGTAGCGTATGGTTCTGTCGAAGACCGACTAAGACGTACCGCTGCGCACCGCCCTTCGAGTACGGACGTGATTTATCAACCATCAGAACCGAAGTTGGCCAGGACTTTTCAGCAGGCGAGGCAGTTGAGAGCGACAGAAGAGGAGTATCAATTTTGATGGGTGGAACTCTGCCAGCAGTCGCATTTGTCTCGTCCGTCAGAGGGCGAATGTCCCAGAAGCGAAGCCTGCCAGTCTTGTCGAGTGAGATGATCATTGAATCATCCTCGCTAAAAACGAAATCTTTCCCAGCCTTACCAGTGGCAATTTGAAGGTTGCGTTCCTGGTACAGCTTTTCCATGTCGACCTCACGATCTGACTCAGTGATGCCATACTTCGCAAACACGGTTGTTTCTGGCCAGATGATGTGAATGGATTTACCCCGACCTATAGCAAAGTACTCAGGATGTCGAGAGCTTCGCTTAGCTCGAGTCTTGAGGACCCCACCAGCTGAATTCTCATCAGCGGGGGGCCATGGAGGAAACGACAGGGCCTCCGAGTCAAGCTCGTTCTTCTCGAACAAATCATTGCCCTCTTTCGAGACTGTAGCATAGTAGACCGTGCCACTGACACCGGTACCAAGGATAGCTTGATGCCCGGATGGAGGAGCACTCATTGCGGTGGTGCAGAAGGCAACGTTGAAGACTCGATCATGAGAATGCTTGAAAACTTGACGATCACGCCCATCGTCTTGTCTGATGATGCGCATACCGCCATTCTTTGTCAAGGCATATGCAATGTACTTGGAGGTGGCAGCAGCGAGAGATCGGTCAAGCTGGTCGAAATCCTTCCTAAGTCGAGAGATCTCCATGACACCGTTTTCACGAATCCCGACACTCGAGATATCGTCGAACTGCAGGCTAATGGAAATGAAGGGACGGATAGGAAAATTGTAGACCGGAACCTTGCGGGTTTCATCCGGCGGGCTCGGCGACTCTTCTGCATCCTCCCACTCATCGGCGGCGCCAGTCGGGCTCTCCTTGGCCTCGGCATCCCACCCGATCTCAGCAGAAGCCACAGCAGCCTTCTCATGCATACTGAGGGCTTCATCAGAGGTTCGGGCAAGGTCAGTGGTTGTCTGTAAGACCGGCTCCCTAGAGGTGTGGTTGTGTGCAGCATGCGCGGCTTTTGTCGTACTCGTAGAGCGGATTGGAAGCTCGTTCTGCGTGTTGTTTTCCTCATTTTCTTGAATCACGGGCTCCGGGGTGCCATTGGACCTCACTGAGTTCTCGCGGGCAAGGCGTTCCACCTTCGCCGATGTAGAGCGGGGTGTGAGCTTCTTGCGTTGGGACGAGCCGGAAGGAGAGGCGGTGCGGTCAGCTACGGGGGTGGAAAAGCTTGCCGAAGCAGATGGTTTAGGCTGAGGTGTACCACCGACTGAGCCAGCATTGCGAGAAGCCTGGAGAGCTTCGAAAGGATTCGTGTATGTGAAGATCTTCTTCGGTTGTTCGGATGATGCCTGCTCGGCCGCAGATGACTGTGATGGGGTAGCTTCAGCGGTATCTGCAACTTGCTGGGCTGGAGCAGGCCTTGCGAGCTCAGCCGAGCCAGCACGAGACGACTGCGAAGACTTGCTCTTGCTCAAGAGCTTCAGGAGAGCATTCTGGGCCGAGTCTGTGCCTTCCTGTACTTCTTCAGATTGGCCACCGCCGTGATCTTCGCCATTTGTTGGTCGTGGGGCAGACTGCGGTACAGCCGGAGGGCTCATGAATCTGGCGACGAGATCTGATGCTGAAACATTTGGCGCAGAACCCTGCTTTTCCGTGGTATTGTTCTGAATTGGAGGCGAAGCGAGTGGTGCTGCGGCAGCTGGCAATGAGGCGGTGCCGAAATTGAGAAGATTGAGCAATGACTGCGCTGAGGCAGCGTTTGAGGTTGTCGACGTGTTCGTATTACTTGGGGGACTGTTTGGCATGTGCGCAGGGTTGACAGCCGAGAAGGGCGGTGGGGACGAGAAACCGAAAGCTGTAGTAGCCGACGGTTGGGCAGAGGTGGTAGCTCGAGCAGCCGGATTGCCATCAGAGCTCGCTGGGCCTTGCGACCGAGGTCGGATGTTGGCGAACAGAGCCTGAAGATCGTTGTTCGACATTTTCAGCCGAATGAAGATCCAAAAGCTCGACTAGAGAGCAAACTGCAGGTAGAACCACGAAAGAGAGGACTGGTTGACGATGTCTGCTCCAAAATGCTACAATCGGAGACAGGATGGTCGTTTGCGAATAAGGAACGGAATGAGCACCAGATTATGTGCTTGAAATGACGATGAAAAAATGCCACCGCAAGAGGGCCTGGCGAAATGTTATCGTACAGAGAGAAGAGCTCACCGAGCGGCGGGTGCAAGACGAGAGGAAGATGAATCATGACAGGCCTAGGAACTTTTGGAGCGATCAGTGGAACTCAAAGCCTTGGCAATCGGTCAGCTTGGCGGTATGTCCATGTCCTCATGTCCATGTCCATGGGCGCCGGTGATGGCGCTGACAGTGATGGTGATGTCTACAAAGCGTATGGGGGAGCTCTCGCAAGTTTTGTCATTTACATATCTCGGAGGAGTGCCACAGACTCATCTAGCCTTGCAATCTCTCCCATGAGCCATCTTTCCTTTGCCTGGAACTGCTCAAGAGCAACCTTCTCTGCGCCGACCACCACTTCTTCGATCCGATCCTTCACATCATCTCGCTCGATCTTATCCAATGTAGCCCGCATCCTCTCTCGCTCGACCACCTGAAGTCTCTGGTAGCATCTCGCCATCGACTTGTACAATTGACCAAGAAGCAAGTCTCTTGCTCGCAGTGCATCGTAGAACCACAGAAAGATGGTCCTGTTCGGCTGTCGTTGTGGCTCCCGAGGGACCTCTTGAAGTTCTGTGAGGCCCATGGTCTGCAACTCCGCAAGTGCTTGTCTCATTTCCTTTGCGGACAGGAGGCCCATCTCTTGCAGCAGTTTTTCGTCTAATTTGCCCTTGTCGATGAGCATTCGCACCAATCGCATTCCAGTCGGTCCGATCCGAGCACTGATCAAGTTTAGAATCTCACGATCGCGCAACCATATTGCGACCTGATATCGGTCAATGTACCACCAGGCCGTGTTCTCGTCACGCCGAATAAAAGGGTATGGCCCACTGGAAACAAGGTCAAGTCCACTCTCCAAGTCTTCTTGATCCAAGTATTCGTCTTCATTGGCGCCGTTGGTCATCGCTGTGTCCTCATCATGATGTCCATTGGTCCCATGCGTGCCATTTTGCAGCGGCATCCTCCGGGTGTCATCGAGAAGGCGACTTAGGACGACGAGCTGCTCTTCTGTGCGGACATTAGGCGAGCGTTCGAAAGGCGGGGATTGCAGTTCGATTTGTTTTAAGACAGCTGTTGTCAACCGAGCCGATGTCCGGCCCAAAGTCTTATTGACATGCTGAGTCACGGTCGCATTGCGTACATCTTTTATGACTCGGACGTAATTCAAGCATAGATAGAGTTCCTGTTGTGGCGTAGCACCAACCGCCTCACCATTCGGAACGTCGAGAGCCGCCTCGATCATGTCAGCAGATACATATGTATCGAGGCGTCTTTCCATCTCTTCCTGCACCTTACTCAGCCGGTCTGCACGCAAATTCTCTCCGCGTTGTCCACCGGCGGTGACCAGCTCATGACCAGCCTCGGCATCCTGTCGAGCATCGTGTGGGATCTGAAGATGTCCAATGCTTAGCTTTGACATAAATTGGTCGTTGGCAAGTCGTCTCAAGGTATCCTGAACTTTGACAGAGGCCTTGCTTCCGTTTTGATACGGTGTTTCGCGATCAGAGGACTGCTCCAGCGCCTGTAAAACTGCTGCCTCGAGGTCCTTCACACTAGCAAATCCTTTCGCGGCGAGAACTTCGATAACGAGCCCGGCGATTGACCCATACTGAGCGTGGGCGAGCTGGGCGAGCTTGCCTGTTCGTAGCAAATCGTAGGCATTCGTGAGGTTCGCCTGATAGGTCGAAAATCCTTCAACCGAATGGTGCTGCACCAGTCGCAACTGGATAAGTGTTGCCAAACCAGCTTTAGCTTGCCGTAGAAGTAGGTGGCATCGCTGCGCGATCTGACCTGCTGGTAGTCGACCGTACGTTGCGACTTGCTTAAAGATATGCTGACGGTCCGGTTAGTGCCGTCTTGTGTCGGTTGCTGGTCCACAACTTACGGAAAGAAAGCTTCCGTAGGTGTCTTCAATAATGAGGCAGCAGAGCTGATTCAAGTGCTGTCGAACATCAGCTTAGCTCTTACCTCCCAGAATCATGGCCAGTACCTCAGCCATTACGAGCGAGCACTCTCGCTGCAGGAGATCACTTGCTCACAGTCTAGCTCAGCTCATGGATGTGGCTCTCAGCAGGATATGCATATGAGCATCTCAACCTACGATTGCACATAAACCTCCAGATCTTTAAGAATCGATTTCTGAATATCGAAACAGTTTTGTGATGTTCACGCAGAAGATTTGCAAAAGACTTGCTGGCTAAAGTCACATTCTTGGCATGGCTTGACTCCGCAATTAATGCCTAAACTCTATCTTCACCACGGCCGATGATCTTTTCCGGCTTCTTCTTCCTCCATCCTCGTTGCCTTGTCAGGTGCGGGATCCGGCGTCACGCTCGCAATGTGACCAAGCTGGTATGAGTCTCCGGACTCATGCGAAAAGATTACATTAAGGCTTCCTACGTATAAGGATCGGCTTGTGGTCCACTGTTCGCCTTTAGAAGAATTGCAATTCTGCAACTGCCGAATATACGCACTTGACGATCTGTTGCTTCGACGCTGGCGCCTTATTTGCATCATCTTGCAAGTACCGAACCGCATGATGAGCAGCTACCGTATCGACAGTGATCAGATGGTGTCTGCTAGCTGCCCTCTCGTGGACCTACTCGGTCTCCGATAGCAACATTGTGATAGCTGACACGAGGCATGACGTCTCGCAACGTCAACGCACTCCTTACGAAATGAAACAAGTATTCGGATCGGTAGATAGTCGGAAGCTGTGGAGAAGCAGCCAGCCCTCATGGGCTAGATGGCCACATCCTAAGGATATCAATAGATGAGCCGGTTGCTTCAGGACGTTGCACAAAAGTATTTGCTTGAGCATTCTCGAATTACTCATTTCTCGATCAAGCTGCAGCTTACCAGTCGTCCGGGAAGTTTTGGTTTCAGACTTGACCACACCCAACATACCCCCCTAATCCTAGAGCGAACCACGCCAAACTCCATAATCATGCATCTCACCACGTTCTCCATTGCAGTGCTACCATTTGCACGCAGCTCTCCGGTCCCGGCCCCGGCCCCAGCATCAGGCTTTGCAATTCTTCCGCGGGCTCAATGTCCCTACGAACTCCAACCAGGATACGTATACTGCACCGATCTCTCCACGCTTACACAGTTTAACCGCGCCACCGGCTATCTCGACGTGATACAGAATTGCAAGTCAGGCACGTTCTGCTCAGCCATCAACGATGATATGCTAGCAGGTGAATGTGTCCCGCCTGGTGTTGGGCCGGGGGCCGGGAACATGATGTCACCTATTTACACGCGGAGCACGGGAGGGGCCGATACATCGACTGGAATCATTCCGAGCGTGGCGCTCGGGACTTATTGCGCTCTTGGAGGAAGGAAGGCGTGAATATGGTAGTGGGAAGTATTGCACCTGCGGGTTGGGCTGGGGAAGGGAAAGGGGAGCAAGGGGAGGATGAGTATGCAGGGACTTGGGAAGATGATTGGCTGTGATGGTCATAGAGGAGGCCGAACAGGTGCGTGATCAGACTTGCGAATGTCGTTGGGGGGTTACTACTGGCGAAGGGCCCTGATTCGAGACATGTCCAGAATATTCAAATGAGTTCCTGCTCGCCATCATAGTCCTGAACACGCGCGACACAGGTCAAGGCATCTCCGAACTCTCGCGAACAACGAGTTGAGCTTTCGAAGACTGCTTCGACAAGTCCATCCTTTCGATGATGTGCTCGTTTTCATACATGCGCGGCAATGCATCGTGATTAGGAACTTACGACCCGAGGCCAGGCGTGGAGGTCGACTAAGATTGTCACCAGACAAATGGATGCGATCCAAAATACAATTGTCTGAGCAGAGCATAATTGTTCACTGTATCAGAGCAGCGAATATAACTCAATTGGTGATTGTGAATGTGACGAGGGTGACACCATGTCCGGAAAATGCCGGCGAACGTGTCGTAGAGACAGCCTTGTCCGCCAAGGTGGTACTAGCGCAGCCTCATAGTTGAAGCTCTTTTGCGCCCAATTGAAGCTCGTGTAATTGAAAGTGCATCTGAATCCTCTACCACCGCTCAGATCCCTCAAACTTCCCTCCCGCAGTCCCTATCGCGATGGCTTCTCCCGCCGTGCTAGGGTCTAGAGCTCTGCGAGCTTCTCGACACACCCTCCGGACCGGTGCGAACTCAAGGAGAGGTCTAGCTGCGGCAGCTTCGAGTACCTTTCAATATGAGACTGGGGACTCTTCCGGCGTCAAGTTCGCCAGCAGGGACCTGCCTGGTGCTACGACGACCCTGACAGTGGTATCAAAAGCTGGCTCGCGGTATCAGCCTTTGCCCGGCTACTCAGACGCCCTCGAGAAGTTCGCATTCAAGGTCAGCCCACATGCACTTGTGCAGAGAATCCACCGCTGACCATAACAGGCCACCGAAAAGCGTTCCTCTCTTAGGATCACCCGAGAGGTAGAGCTCCTAGGCGGCCAGGTCGCTGCATACCACACTCGCGAGAACCTTGTCCTTCGAGCAAAATTCCTGAAAGATGATCTCCCATACTTCGCTGAGTTGCTCGCCGAAGTTGCTTCCAAAACCAGATACAGCAGTCCGTTTCCCCGAGATCCTGCTCTATTCTACCCGCTAACACAGTTCAGCCCACGAGCTCAACGAGGAGGTCTTCCACACCATGCGTCTGGAACAGAAGTCTCACCTTGCCTCACCCCTCAACCTTGCTCTGAATTCCGTTCACGGCGTCGCTTTCCACCGCGGCCTCGGCGAGCCCCTCTACCCTACCTCGTCCGTACCCGTCGCAAAATACATCGATGCTCCAGGCATCGCTGACTTTGCCGATGCCGCATACGCCCGCTCCAACATTGCCGTCGTTGCCAACGGTGCTACGCACTCCGACCTCAGCAAGTGGGTGAAGGAGTTCTTTTCTGAAAGCACTGGCACGGGCTCAGCAACCACTCAAATCAAATCGCCCGCGACGAAGTACTATGGCGGCGAGGAGCGCATCGCTCATGCCTCTGGCAACGCACTGATTCTCGGCTTCCCCGGCTCCGCCGCGTTCACTGCCGGCAGCGCTTATAAGCCCGAAGTAGCCGTGCTTGCGTCCCTTCTAGGCGGCGAATCTTCCATCAAATGGTCTCCCGGATTCTCCCTGCTCGCCAATGCCGCGCATGCCACGCCAGGCGCGCAGGTCAACACCACCAATGCCGCCTACAGCGATGCCGGTCTATTGTACGTCACTCTCACAGGTAATGCGACTGCCATCTCCTCTGCGGCGAAGAACGTGGTCGAGGCTATCAAGAAGGTTGCCGCCGGCGACGTTTCAGAAGAAGTGGTCAAGAAAGCGGTCGCGGCCGCCAAGTTCCGCGCCCTAGAGGCTGGTCAGCAGACGGAGGCTGGCCTGGAAGCAACGGGTAACGGCCTGATTGTCAGCGGCAAGGCGTTCCAGATCTCAGAGCTGGCGAAGGGCTTTGAAGGTGTGACCAAGGATGGCATCACAAAGGTAAGTCTGGTCCCCGCAAACTCCAGGCTCTTTCCACCGGCATTGTAGAAGCAGTCGATTCGTATTCTAACGATCTATAACAGGCGGCAAAGAGCGTTCTCGAAGGCAAGGCCAGCGTGAGTGCAGTGGGAGACCTGTATGCGCTGCCGTTTGCAGAGGAGATTGGCCTCCAGGTGTAAAAGATGGAGTAGAGTCGAAAAGAGAGGCGCAGGGAGGGAGAGAAAAGAGATACGCGAAGCGATCGCTCCAGCGTTCGCTGGGAGGGTTTATGGGAGGGGTTTGCTTTGTAGTGTAGACCTTGTAAATAAGTACGCAGGCAGGCAGGCAGGCAGAGCAATCGAAAAGGCAGGGTTGAAAATTCAAGAGTCTCAGATCAGAACGAAGCCAGCCCTCTTGGGATGGGTAGCTTAAGAATTTTGGCCTAGTGAAGCGGTACAGCAGGTAGGTATGCAATCCCCTTCCCGAAGGTAGTCGTACTGTACGGGTATGTTCCCCGGACTCGACTGGAGATTTCAAGCACCAAAGTCGCCAGTATTTTCTTCCCTGATCCAGGCTCTTCCAGAGTCCAACGCCATGTACGACTTTTCCTCGCAGCCAACCCCCGTTCTCCGGTTTTCGTGCAGCCCATCGACGCATCCCCGAGTCTTTTCTACAAGGGGCCCGCAAGCCCTTCAAATTCTGGTTCACTCACCGCTCCCGGTAATCCTCATCACCGCTAGGCTCCTCGTCCATAAAGTCCGTCTCTCTGTATTGGTCCTGCGCAGGTCGCTGATCGCTGAGCTGCAGCTGCACGACATTACAGCGGCGTTGGTGAGGAAGGCCCTTGCTCTCGAGCTTGAGTGTGGACGTGAGCGCGTTCGAAGTCTGGTCATCCTCTTCAGCAGCGGAAGCGGACAGCTCGGCCTCATAGGCGAGACGCTTGAGGTGTACATCGCGGATGCGACCACTGCGGCGAGATTTCGAGTTTGACTCGGCTTGGTCTTCGCCGTCCGGAACTGGGGCATTGACAGGGCTGTCGGAATTGCCTTTTGTGGGTGCAACTGGACCAATCAGCGGTAGAACACCGTCTGCTTGCGTCTTGGGAACGACGATCTTATCATCGCTCTCAACTCGCACCTTGAACTCCCGCCTCAGTCGCTCCTTGTCGGACATAACACTCTTCCGTACCTCTGGCGTACGTCGATCCAAGAATACATCAGCCAAAACCGGCTCCCATTTCTGCCTTAGACTTGCACGTTCCTTCCATCCCGCATCCTTGACAATGGCCCGAATCACCAGCCGCCGTAGAGACTTGAGATCGTCTGCTGCTTCCACGAGGCTGGTGAAAAATGATTCCGTCTCGGCGCAGCTGATCTGGCGGAGATTCTCAATGTCTATGGAGACGAGTGCCGCGGGCCACATCGGTGGGCCGTCAGGAAGGGCTTCATCGAAGAGAGGGCTAACATCCTGGTAGGAGGAAGGATCGGAATACGTGAGGTCGAGGGTAAGGTGGCGGAGGCGCGGAGTATAGGTGCGCAAGTTCGCGAGGAAATCGAGCGACATAGATTGGTTATGTTTCAGCGTGAGGGTGTGGAGGTGGGAGCCCCGGGTGGCGAGGTAGGATGTCAGGTGGGAAGAGAGAAAAATTATGTTATTGGTGATTTCGAGATGTTTGAGAGAGTACGGTAGCCGTGGTGTGGTGACCTCGTCGAGGATGTTGCAAGTGCGGAAGGTGAGCGAGGTGAGATTGGGAAGGGACCTGAGGGCGGAAGCCAGATGCTCACGGGCTGCGGCGAGATCAGCTTCTGGGTGCTTCTCAGGGAAGCTGATGTTGGCGAGCGTTAGTGTCTCGATCGTGGAGAAACTGGGACGAGAGTGAAATTCAGCCATCCGGGCGAGGACATCCATCGGAGTCGGGAAGCGGCCGTTCCATCCGAAGGACTTGAGGCGGATATTCATAGTATCGAGCGTCTCGAACAACTCGTCGGGATAGGTCCATCGGCGGTGAAGAGAGGCGGATGGCTGAGCCCAAATGTATCTCGAGAGGTCATCATGATTGTGATAAAGGTGGAGGTGTTCAAGGTTAGGCGTGCATTCGATCAATGCTCGAAGCTCGATGTCGTTTTTGCTGACGAGAAGATTCTTCACCTCAATGTTAAGCTGCTTAATTTTGGTCTGATAGTTGCTCATCAGGTTGGACTGATCACGCCGAAGGAGCCGGAGCAAATCTTCACCACGCCACGCGGGATAGAGCGGTGGAGAATAGAGTAGAGCGGCCATGCAAGCATCGTGGAAAGATCTGCAAAGTAATGAGACCCTACAGAGCCATTCAATGGATCCCGTAGGCCGTGATGCATGGCCATAGAGCGGATAGGCCGCATGCTTCATCACTGCAACGAGAACTTCGTATGGTAGGGTCTGCCATGGTGGACGCTTGCCAGACGGGCCGAGTGGAAAGACAATGGGCTTCCCGGGGACAATCAAACCAGCTATATTTGGCTTGATTTTCTTGAAGAGTGTGAAATTTGTGGCTTTTGTACGTTGTCTACCACGGTGATGAGCCTTGCGTGCATTTTTTGGTCTTGCCAGAGGCTGCGTCTGTCGTGATCGGATCGCAGGTCGTGAGATTGCGACTGGGACTGGACGCTCGAGGTCTGAACCATCGGTGCTCGGCTCGCGATAGGTTTGGGGCCGACGTCGTGAGCGAGTTGTCCTGCTGCCTTCCGGCGCGGGCGACTGATTTCGCGGGGTAGATGGCCGAGAGGAATCTGATGCCGACTCGGCGGACGCACGGTCGAGGTCGGAAGTGTCGGTACTTAGCTCGCGATATGTCTGAGGGCGCTGGCCTCCGCGCGCGGAGCGCTTGACACTGGATGGATCGTAGTCGACTTCAGCGTCTGAATCTTCCGCGTAGCGGACTCTCTTTGCGCGCCGTGGGCGAGCCATGGCTGGTGCGAACGAATGGCAAGTGGCGCAAGAGACAGTTTCTGTAGGGAAAGAACACCGCTACCGCGAGGATCGTCCGCAACTGGGTGACATGCAAAGAGGGTGACTCGAACGGGAGGCTGCAATCAAGCAGATGTACGGAGTACAGTACATGCACAATCAAATGCGGAGGAAGTGATGGACTTACCAAAACGAACGGCGGATTTCGTGCATGACGCATATGCGCGGCCGCCGATCTTTACCCGGCCCGGCCGTATTTTCAGCCTCATCAGGATAATTCTCCAACATGTGCAGACATCCAGATGATCGCAAAACACTGTTTGTGTTCCGAGGTTGTCATTAATCATCATTGGTGTCTCCGTCTAGCTCAGTGCTGTACCCAACAACGGCGAACCATTTCGTCCAGGCCCATCAGGCGTATTACGACGAGAGCCAGATGCATCGCACCTATCATGACGAACATTACTTTTGGCCAGTTGAACCGTGTTTCACTCCTGTTTTCGACGCAAGCAACTTCTTCATCGCGTATTCTTTGATGATAGTCCGGAAGCAATGGTCGCAGTGCATCATAAGCGAGATCCATGGTGATCATGGATGAACTGAAGGGCAGCGATAAGGCCAGAGCCTGTTGAAACAGCCACCATGTCCCGCTGGGTTTGCATGGCCCATCAACATGCGTTATTGAGAACCACAAGAGATAGACGTAGCTGGCGATGAGAAGAGCACAATCCCATACCGACTCTCGCACATTCTGCTGAGCTGTGGACTCTGCTTCTGGGATTTCCAAAGTTTGTGCTCCATCAGAAATTGCAATGCATGTATCGACCATAGGCGACGATTTCTTCGCGATCTCGCATTCACCCTTCTCATCGGACTTGCTGATCATAGTGCTTCCAGCCGGACTGCGTTCATTGTCAATCACCGCGAGGTTAAGTGTCGAATGGGGCAAACCCATGGCGTATCTGGTATTCTGAGGTTCGAGTCCTTTCATACGATGTTTTAATACTTGTAGAGTCAATCAGCAGCAAGGTCAACAGTTACATCAAGAGGACGGCTGGTCCTCTTCTGATATCTATATGCTCTGCCCCTAGAGTCCTACCTGCAAGGCCTAGATGCCAATATTGTATAAATGGCTTGAAAAAATACGACAATGTCACGCTTCCGACCGTTCGAGAGGCTTGGAGGGGTGGAAGGATCAGGAGGAAGGAACGCGGGTCGCGACTGGCGGTGGGGGCTGCCCAGACATCGTGCCAATTCTGGTGGGGGTGAAAGTTCAACGGAGGGCGGCGAGGGCGGCGCGATCGCATCACCATGACAGCACAAGTACATTATATATGTTTATGGGTGATCGTCGAGGACCTGAAACCGCTTCGACATCTTCTAGAACACAGCCAGTATAATGCCTGTATCTTGCTGCACCTTCGACAGCCGAACAAGTCTCGAGGCGCCATATGCAGGTTCTGCGACAAAGAGTAATGCGAAGATCTGATTTGCCAGGGCCCGATCTCCAGGCGAGTCAAGACTGGCGGCGCTAAGCCACAGGTAGTCAAGGCGCCGTCCGTAACCCGTGCTATTTCCAGGGCAATTTCCAGGCCTTGGCTGGGAACCAGGAAGCTGCTTGTGCACCTGCCTTGGTTTGCACACTGCTGCTTCGCTTGCATGATGCACCTTTGGCTCCGTGCCTCTGCCACATCGACTTTCGTTTCATCCCACACCAGACATTTTGTTTAGAGATCCTTCTCCATCTCAGCCCAGCACAGTCACCAAGATAGACATCCCAACTACGCGCGCGTCTCTCCGTCAAGATCACCATTCCGAACTTCGTCATCTCTGCCAACATTTCGTCCCCTACGTCAAACATTCTTGCTGAAACAGCTTGCCGCCCCTAATAACAGGGCATCGAAACCCAGTGACTGGCCTATTGCTGTCGCGTAAGCTGGCCACGTCGACTTGTGCGACCTGAGCTATAGCCATGGGCTCAACACAATATGGAAACTTTGGTGTTAGTTCATATTAGACGCATGGCGATGGCGGTAGCTGATAAGAGGCATAGGACTTTTGCAGAGACTCGACTCTACCTGTGTGCAATGTGAGTCGCGTTGAGCTTGACTTCAGCTGCAGCTGACCTCCCCAGATCGTAACGAGCGTACCCAACCAGCCACCCGGACTTCCCTTCGAACCTGATGCCTGCGTGCTTCGAGGCATATCCCTCAGCAATGACAGGTACCTGGCCAACCTCGGCTCTATCCTTGTGGCCGGACTCGCCATCATTCTGACTCTCGGATTGTTATGGCGAACTGAAAGGAAAGCAGCAGCTGTTGGCAGGAGAGAGATACAAGTATTTCTGCTCGGTTATCTCGTCATCTCGCTATGCGAAATCTTCTCCCAGGGCCATTTCCCTCTCAATGATTCCGCGCGCAGAGGTTTTTCAGCGGCACATATCGCTGCTATTACTGCAACAACATGGGTTCTCCTAATGAATGCCGCCGTTGGCTTTCAACTGCTCGACGATGGGACCGTTGCTTCGCTGGCCTTGATAATGGGAAGTGCTTTGGCGTTCTTTGTCGGCACAGGCTACATCGCTCTTGACACTGCATTCAACTGGACCGGTTACTGGAGCTCTACCCTCGACAATCCCGAACACAGGAGCATCGCTCTCTACACCCTCTATCAGCTTGCGCCACTCGTCTTCCTGTTCCTCTTCTTCGTCCTCGAGACTATTCTGGTGCTCCGCATCTTGGGTGAGGTGCGCCCAATGATTTATCTCGTCGCCGCAGCTCTTCTGTTCGCCATCGGCCAGATCTTCCAATACGTTATTTCCGTCCATATTTGCAAGCCCACCAACGGCGCGATCGATGGCGCCTTCTTTTCGAGCCTATTCACTCTCCTATCTGTGATCGCAATTTGGGTCTTCTGGTCGTCCATAACAGAGGACGACTGGCCAATCACTGGTTAGCGGCTTGGGCACGCCTAATTGTGGTTGCTCTCCGGCGTCTGAATGCCAAGGCCTCGACTGGACGGCTTCTCTGGACTACGCCTTGCGAAAAGAGAGACGGGGGAGAGGGGCGAAGTATGGCTCGAGGAGAGGCTGACATGGAGATGTAATAACATGGCGCAGTCTTCGAGCTGACGACTTTATGCAGCGACTGGCGTTTCAGTTTTATTTTGGCTGCGGTGTTTGTTTCTCAGTATAGTACATACCCCCGCGATGGAGATTTTGATTTGCAGCTGCAGTTACAGTCGACGAAGTGGGTCGCACTGGCTTGAAAGAATCGTATTTGGAGAAAAAAAGGACAGAGTTCTCTGATGCTCGTGGCGTGGAGCGGCATTCGTTGTACAGAGTACTGCAGGAGCGAAGGGGCACGAGAGATATACGATGTGGGGGGGGG